TGGAATATTTAGACGATTAAGTAAAGCCTTGACCGTACGGTAAAAACCAAAATAATATACGACTGATTGAATACTACCGGCACAAATGAAATCGTATAATGTTAAAAATATGCATTTCGTCGCATACGCCAACGTAATAGGTACCTAAAATAATCTAAGAATAGGTACAGACAATGATATCGTCGTTATCGGGACCAGACGACCGATTAAGCTAATCGATTATTATTATTAGACTGTCGTGTGTCGTAGAAAACTCGAAAACGTTTCCAAGCAAAAATTATCAAAGAAGTAGCATTGATAATATACCATATTATATGATCATAATATTATGACTTGTATTATAATTGGGATTATATTTATATGCATACAGCATGTGTATAATATATTTATACAAACTTTTAATATAATTTCCAAGTCAAAATTCTAAAAATATAAAAATGTTAAAGAAAAAACTGTTTCATATTATTATTATTTACTAAAGCCCTTTGGGCAAAGAGTATATATTAATGATACTATATAGGTTAGGCTGATAAAAATAAGGCTGATAAAGCGAAATTAACATTGAGTGAAATTGAACAATCAATTAATAAGCGACCACATACAGGGCATATAATGTAAACCCGACTAAAAATATTATGTAAACAATTTACTAGGTGAGAATTGAGCGTTGATCTGTTAACAAAAATTCTTAACAAGTACAGGGTATAATATAAGAATGAAATCTGATTAAATTTGAAATAAGCGTATTTTTTTTCTGACTATTGTATATTAATAATATATTGTTCAATATATATATATATGTATTTTTTTTTGATTCATACTTAAAAAAATGCTTATATTTAAATTTATTTTTATATTTTATTTAATGTATTTTTGAAAGAGTTATAATTTATGGGTGGCTTCTTTTATCAAGCATTTTCCATGTACAAATAATATACTGAGAATTACACTTATAGCTATATTATTATTATACTATTGTAATTTTTTCTGGCATTCGTTACAAACGACCGGTGTGTACGTTAAAGGTCGAGCACTACACTGTATCAGTTGTTCGGCGGTCTATCCATTAGTAATTACTAGGACTGGGATTTTAATGCTCTAAAAAATAGCAAAAAATAATTTAAAAATTATAAAAATTTGTTTATTATAGTTTAAAAACAATATTATAAAAGTCAAGTTACCAAACATATTTAATGATAGTTATTTGATATAATAATAAAATAGGTTGCTATTTGTTTAATGTTTACATTTTATTTAAATTTAATCGTCATTGGACAAGAGTCTTGCAGATAGAGAAATTCTTTTGACTGTTTTAATTTTGCTCTATTTTTGATAAAATATGTACAGAGACAGATATGCTCGTATTTATTAGCTTATCAGTTTAGTAGATTAAACGTGCAAGTTTAGAGCGAACAAACGCTGAAACGCGTGATCAAATACCTTAATGTTTAAGAATTAATAGATGTATTTTGAAAAATGCCATAAAAATGCAAAGTTAAATTTGTCATAATTAACTAGATTAAATTAATCAGCATCACTCGAAACACATTTTCTGCTTACGGATCTACATAGTTGAAACATTAGAAACAAATGATGGATTCGTATCAAAATCCCAGCCCTAGTTATTACAAATATGCGTATATCAAATGAATGTACGAGTACATTCCACCGGGCGATTCGCTGCGAGCAACTGGTTTACCGTTCACATTAGCGCCGAGTCGTAATGTAACATTTTTTGATGTTCGTCAAAATACCGCCACTCGGGTGGACCGACGGTGTCGCGAACCGAACAGTAACACTTGAGCGTAACAGTTACAATTACTGCGTTACACTACACCTAATGCTTCGGTGGTTTTAGACGATCATGCCGCGTTCCCCGTCATAACCCGACCGAACTGCCACAACGCGGTCCGATCATAAAACTGCCATTTTTAGGGCCACCCATACTATTAAGAACCCCTCACCTGCAGCCACGTAGTCAGAAAATATTCACTAGGTGCGGTCCCTCCTTCCCGAATTTTTACATTGTAAAAAGGTACTTTTTTTTTTTGTTAGCAGCCCTAAGGCTGGTTGGTAGCAATTTTCCACTCCTGACGCTTCTCAGCTTTTCTTTTTAATTCGCAATAAGATCTGCAGTTCATATCTCTAACTATTTGGCCAATGTAGTCCAGTAGCGGTCGCCCTCTGCTATTATTCCCTTCAATGGTACCTTCTATTATCCTGTTTAGTAGACTGTTATGGCGCAGTACGTGTCCAATTAACTTAGCTCTTCTTGTTTTAAACATCTTCAAAAAGCTTCTTGTTTCTCCGGCTCCTCGATAAACTTCTTCATTAGTAATGTGTTCTGTCCAGCTTATTCTAAGTAGGTTTCTGTAGCACCATGTCTCGAACGCTAGAAGTCTTTTTTTCTGTTTTACCTATGGTCCACGTCTCACTTCCATACAATGCTACACTCCAAACATAAAGCCTTTAGTAGGTTTTTCCTTACTTTTATATCAATATTTCTAGATATAAACATATTTTTCTTGCTCTAAAATGCACATTTAGCTTGGTTTATTCGACTTACAATCTCACGGTGCTATGGCCATCCTTAGTTATCTTGCTTTCTAAGTATCTATATTCATTCACTTGCTCTAGTGTCGCCATATAATGTGATTTGAGTTTGGGTTCCTTCGTTACGACTACAAACGAGGTATTTGCCCTGTTTATTTTCATATTGTACTCATTTTTCATTGTTGAGTAAAAAGGTACTTATAAGTGTATCATTACTACAAATATATAAGAATATAACCTAATACTACCATATTTTATCATTTCGCTTCTCTCTTTGTAATTTTAGTTTTCTTTTAGCACATCATCCACTGAGAGGTATCGTTTAAAAATTAATTCAAATATTAAATATATTAAATAAAATGTATACTATAAATTGTACAAATATTAACGTTATTACTAACGTGCACTGAATGTGAGTGCGAGTGTCCAATCGGCGACCATAATATGATTCTATATTTCTGTATGAATCGATATAATGACGATACCCTCGTTCAAAAGTATTTTTAAAATAGACATACAAGTATAAAATAGTCACTGTCTAGATAAGAATAACGTGCTATTGTAATATGGTACCGGTGTTTGGCTTTAAATAGGAATTATTTTCTAATCAACAATATTATCCTTACTATCTATTCTAATTGTTTATTTGAGTATCATTAGGACGGAAACGCATTTTAATCCCAAAAATAGTTATAACATATAATTTCATATGGTAAAATTGAAGATATCGATAACTAAGAGAACACATGTTCTGTGTTCAAATTTGGCATAGTTGAGATATTAATATTGTTAAAATTGTGGTACACAATATAATCAAGTGCGCATACGTTCTACGTTCGATATTTTATTTTGGATAGTTATTATAAAAAAGAAATATCTGTTTTAGTTTTAAAACTAGGTAAGCAACAAAACTTCTTTAGTGATTTGCCAAAAATTAGGAAAATGGACATGGAACATGTGTGCTCTTAGGTATCAATATAATTAAATAATAGATAAATAATAATTAAATAAAAGTACTTCTTAATTTCATGGGACGGAATAATCAATACCGTATCAAGATATACTAAGAAATATAATTACTTCAGCTATTATTATTTATTATATAAAATGTAAAATAAGATATAATAATAAAATGAAAATCGACTTATACATTTAAAATATTATTAAAATTATTTTCTTTATTTTATTGTGTATGTGTAATTCTTCAAAAACTGAATTAATATAAATATTATTTTTTAAATATGTTTATCAAAATTTGAATTAGGGGCAGTCTTTTTTAGTTTTATTTAAGAATTGTGTTCTTTATATCTTATTTTAAAATTTATATTTGTCTTCTCAGAATAAAATTAATTACAATTACATAAAATTTTATTATTATTAGTCTTAAAAATAATTTTTACAATAATAGTATTATCATGTAGAAGTTTAGTTAGAATTTGTTAGATATATTATTTTGATATTTCATACTACAATAGTTAACAATATTATTTTGTAAGTTTTTTTTTTTTTAATATGTTTATGATTTTTTTTTAATAGTATTTAATTTGAAATTATTTTTATGGGCTACACCAGCGGTTCCCAAAGTGTGCGCCGCGATGTCTGTATAGAAGCGCCGTGCCCTCATGAAATACTATCTGGTTTAATATTTTTCTTATGATTAATCACGCTATGACTTGGGGAAGGGTACCCTGAAAAAACCTTAGATGAAAAAGGGTGCCGTGAGTCAAAAGAGTTTAGGAAGCACTGGGCTACACTATAGATCAGCGTTTCCAAAAGTGTGTTCCGCGGAACTTTAGGGTTCCGTGGGATAATGCTAAGAGTTCCGCCAGATGTATGTGATTATTGAGAAACTTATTTAATATTATGTTTGGAAAAAATATTATTCTATATTATTTAAAAAAATAATAGTTAAGAATAATATCGCTATAAATTATTTGTAATAATTAAATAATAAATGTTTGTTATTTTAATAAATATTGTGTTTTTAACTAATTTTAATAGAGTAATCATTAACAATATTAACAGTACCTACCATTAAAAACATTTCATAGAGTATAGGTTTTTTTTTTTTAGAAAAATTAGAATTGAATTGGAATTAAAGACATTAGGGTTCCGCGAAACACAAACTATTTTTAAATGGTTCTGTGATTGTAAAAGTTTGAGAACCGCTGTTAGAGATAATATTAAATGAAATTAAGTAAATTTAGGATTACTTTATAGAATACGCTCGTCTATAAAATATTGAATTAAAAAATTATATTTTATGAGAAGCTTGATGATTAGAATCGCGTAGTATTTTAGAATTAGTTTATTTATTTATTTATTAATTTTTAATTTCTATTTTTTTATTTTTTATTATTTTATCAACTATTATTAATCAGCAGCTTTAAATTATACAATGAATATATTTTTAAATGGTAAAAACAAATATTTTCATAATTTCATACTTTAGCAATGCCAGCTCTATGAGCATCTTGAGATTCCATGTATTCAATATATCTGCTGAAATTTTGGAACTCAGCCCATGTGGGTCTAAAGACCATGATTCTTGGTGGTTGCTTTTTCGAGCTCATATTTTCTAAAACTATAAAACAGACAATTATATAAATACATTAAAATTAAATTAACAGATTAAAATATTCGTTTTATAGTGTATATGGATTTTCAAGAAATTACAAAAATAGTGCTGAAATTCGAATTCAATGAAAACTTAAGTTTACAATTCTTAGTTATTGATTTCATTTTCAGCATCTCTACTGAACAATAATCCTAATAGAAACTTAAATTAAACTGTATCCATGAAGTTGAAGACTTGTTTGGATATACATCAAATGATAATTTGTATTTCATTAGCTATCAATTTAATGAATTAAAATAGTGACTTGAGTCTTTAATATAGATGGCAGAACTGAAAGGGTTGGTAAAAATTATCTATTTATAAGGGATATTTTAATTTTACAAACAAACATTTTATTGATTAGTTTAGAAAGATGAAATATAATGTTTATTACTACAATTTATCAAATAATACAGATACATAATATGAAAATTATAATTAATTTTACATATCAATAGAAAACCAAAATTAAAACCAAATTTAATATTATATCTGAAATTATATCCTATTAGAACTTTAATAAAAAAAATACCTATGTAGGTACCTATGAGAATTAAAATATGAGAGGTCAAGTCAAAGGTCAGGTTTTAGTTAACTTAACTATACAAATTTACTTGAGCAATTGTATTATTTTTATATTATATATTATTATTATTATTTATTTATTTATTATTATATTATACATTTTTAAATACAATTATATAATAAATAGTGTTTAAGTTGAACTTCACCTGAAAAAAATAGATTATAAATGGTTTTAAGCTTACGATCTATTATCAGCTTATCTATTTAATATATTTAAATTTTTAGGTTTCAAATTTTCTGGTATATCATCCAAAATATTAAACTTAAATGATGAAGACAAGTATGATGTTATATTTTATGCTTTTTTCCCTAGGTACTAAAATTATAGGTTTTAAAATACATAATAGGTACTTTCATAAAAAAATATCTAATTGACACAAAAAAAACATGTATATACCTTTAAGTCAATTAAATTTTTTAATATTTTCAAACTAAAGAAAGAATAGCAAACATATGAATGAGCTTTTGTACTGGTATTGGAAATAAAAATTTGTAAATTTTAGTCAAAATATTTAACTAAAAATCCCCTAGATAATAAACCTATGGTTTTTAATACTTGGAACTTGATAGTAATAGTATATAAGGTTACATCACAAACCTTGAATTAAGATTTATTGCAGCCAATATAAAATAATTGTATGCAACTAGGAAAATTGAACAATTAAAATAAAACAAAAAAGATAAATTGCATAACATTTTTTTAACTATACAGATGTAAAAAAAATATATATATATCTTTATTAATTTTTTAACTTAGAATCAAAAATAAATATAAAAAACAAATAGAAAAAATAAAATAACTTAAAATAATCAGGGTCTTCCCTCCTCCCTCGAAAATATGCCATTGGTAAAAGGAATATAAGTATTTAATAATTATACCAGTTTAGCCTATTAGTTAGTTCATATGTTAAGAATATTATTATTAGGATTCAGATTCCATTACACTTGAAAAATTCTATAAATTGCAGAATATGAAAATATGATACAAATAATTTATGTATTATGCTATTTCTAGTTAATATGCTTTAGGCAAGGAAATGTTATAAATTATTAGTAAATCTTATAAAATATACCTGTCACATTGTAAATGTTAAAACCTATTGATTGTAAATTGTATGTCAATAGTTATGCGGTCGAGTTTTTATCATCTCTATAAATCAAGATACAATTAATATAAGAATTTGATATATTTTTTAAACTGTTATAGCATATTATAATACAGCATAACTAGCTACCTATGTAAATAGCATAATTATAAGAAAGTATGTATTTAGGGTTATTATGGTCCTATCAAGTGAACATCTTATCCCTTATATTTACGTAAAAGGTTTCTGCTATTCATGGCTTGATCAAGTAATGAAAAAAAAAAAATCGTTAAGAATCCGTAATAAGCGCGGGAATATCCAAAATACACGACTAATGTCACATTTTACGCGAGCCAAACGTTAAGTCGAGAACCTCGTCAGTGAACGATTCTCTCGATTTATCGCAAGGAATTTCTTATTATAATTTCGTGTAGCAAACATGAAATGTTGTAACTACCTGTCACGGCGATGTTTTCAGTTGGAAACGTTATCGATCATCTAGCCTAGATTCTAGCAGATAGTGGCTGACGCTTTCATCGTCTGCAAATGAGACGATAATGTTTGACTGGACCTCGGACGGGTACGAAAATTCGCCATTTCAAAAACGCGTAACGTAATCAATGAACCGTCTGTCACTTGACGGCGCGCGGATGAGTCGAATGGGACAAGAAAACGATTCGCGAAATAATAATCAATGGGGATTAACACAATATGATTAAAATGTATCCGAACAAGTTTTATCTGTAAATTAGATCATTATAGAAGAAAACGAATGACATAATAGTATTCACTCAACAGTTGTAGATGTTCATACATTATATTTATGTTGTTATTGTTGTCGCCGAACGCCATTACCAAAACACTGAGAATCTCGTAGACCACAAGCCGACGTATTCGCACATGTACGCAACGGTGCGCAGCGTTCGTACCTTCGGGACGCAAACAGTACGTCACTTTTCGGCCACTGAGTGCCGCGGAACGTTTCGCGCGTGAACGCACCAATGTGTTCGGCGACGATTCGATCGAGAGCAAAGTGATTCCCGTTTGCTGGTCACACTGACTTATCTCGATGGCGATAACGAAACGCAAACAGATAACAACACGGTTGGTTTACCAAACAATATTGTTGTTATTTTTTTTGTTATTATTTTTTTCTCTCATTATCACTTTTACAGGCATCTCTATTAGTTTATTTACACGGATCATAGGTCGTAGACCTACCTAGTAGTTTTAGTCAAATTATTAGTGCAAATTACGAAATCCTTTTTTTTTTTTTTCCAAAAGTAGTTTAATACATATCTGTCTACCTGCGTGATGTAACCGTTTTTATTATGAGTGTCCCGTTATTATTCAACCTTAGACACATCGATTTTATTGGTAAACAATTTAAAGAGCTTTTTAAGTTATTTTAAATATTTTTAGAAAAATACCATTCCTGTGCAATATTTAATCCAGGTACCAAAGTAAGATATATATCGAATTTATATTGTATAATAAAATTATATGTTATAATAAAACATTCAACCAAGTATAAAAAATCATTTGTCATTGAAATAATTTTGATAGAAAACACGTAAATATTATTTTTAATTGTATTAAATATAGTTTCAATGTATGGTTACAATAATATATAACTATTTATAATAATAATTTTTATTTGAGTAAATAAAGTTATTATTCTGCTGAATATAATTTGAATATGCATTAAATCAAAATTTTATTTTAAGATAGCCATATATATTTAAACAATACCTTTTGTTTCTCTTATAATTGACGCTTAGAATTTTACAGTTAATAAAAACAAAAATTTTTTAGATTTTGTGTTATAGTTGGTACTCATTTTTGAATACATGTATTAAACAAATGTGAGAATTGGTCATTGAAATATTTAACATTTTAATTTAAAAACACCCACAGTTAATGGGTATCTAGTTAGCAACAGGAAATAGGTGTAGTTATAATGATATTATATTAGTTGTATAATCATTGTAAAAATACTGTATAAGTGTGGTACATTTATGATTTAACTCAAAACATAAAATTGGTATAGATATTTATTTGTAAATTATCATCTGTATTAATATTAAATTATTAAAAATGTATTTATAATAGTTGTTATGGACAAAATCAGATTAATATGTAAGTAAAAATACTATTATAAAAGTATAACATCATAAACCTAATTAATTCAAAAAACCCTACATAGATTGTATATTTTAATATAGAATATTTAAAACATATTAAGTGTTTCATTTTATTTTCTCTAACTATAAAAAATAAGTATATTAATTATACTTATATATATATATATATATAAGCATTTATTTATAATATTTTTACTCTATCTAGTTTAAATTTACAAGTAATTTATACAATATGATTAAGAAATTTAATATCTCTCAATCATTAACATTTTAAATACAAATAGCAAATACGAATAGCTAGTAAAAATACTATAGTAAAATGAAATAATATTTTTAACATTCTATAAATAATAAAATGTTATAAGAGGCGATTTGTATTAAATTTCCTTTACAAATATGTTTATCAAAATTCAAAATTATAAGCTTACAAGTAGCAACTATTGAGTTGAATAACTTACAACTTAATTACATACAAACATTTTATGATTATAAATATTATTCGTATAACATTGTTAAACTAATTTTGAATTAAAATATTTTTATAATTCACATTTAACTTGGAAAATAATGATTGATGCCGTGCTCATGCCTATTTGCTAACTAACCATTGATTAAAAAGTAATAACCTATATCTCACTGTCTTAAATCTAAATATTCGTGCATAAATAAACAGTTTACTGTGTTTAATAAATACAGGTAGTATTCTATATAAAAGTTTCTTTTAGGTAATTACATTTAGTGGTTCTTTCAAAGAATTTTGTTTTAGAAAAGTTTGTTATTGGGCAACATGTTTTCCATTAAATAGTACATAAAACACCTTATCAAGAAATTAATGTTAAATGTAATTTTTTTTTTTTAAATACCTTCCATTATTTTATTGATTAATTAAAATTTATTGTTTTTTTAAACATACATTCAAACAGTAATAACAGTTTTTTATTACAAATTATCAATCAAGTTTTTACAAATTATTTATAATATATTATATTTTACCTGGCAATATAATATAATTTATACTAGTAATCTATATCACACATTGTAATTATAAATAATAGTATTATTATTTAATGGTATAGTTTATAAATAAAATTAATCAAAGTAAGAAATTCATTTATTGAGTAATCAACAATTTAAGTATATTCATTTTTAATAATTATATAATGATTTTCCTGAGTCTATAACCTAGCATGTATTTTTATCAGTCATACACCACACTTTATCGCATGTTATGTATAGATTAGTTATACTTCAATAAAACTCCTCTTTATAATAAATAACAAAAAATTAAAGGAATTTCAATCATTTTATAAATCATTGAATTCGTGTTTGAAGATATCCATTTCAGTTTCCTAATTGATTCCGGAATATTGTTTTAAATTTTATTATAAGAAAATAAAATTTAATCTTCTTCAATTACATTGATTATGGTATAGAATACTTTACTGTATGTTCATAAGTATATATAATTTATACATCATAATTTACGGGAATATCAGTAAACTTATGAATTTAAAATAAATTGTGTGTGTATTTGTTTTGTAATTTGTGATATATGACAGTATGAAATTCTCGATTATTAAAATAAAATATCAGTTATTATAATTTAAAAAACAATATTTATCTTATAATTGATCAATTTTCTTCTACTCCCTCTTTTTTGTTATATTCAATAATGTGTGATAATTTTCGATTTAATAGTATAAAAAAACTAAAATACACTCAATATATTTAAATTTATAAATGTATTTTATTTTGCGTGTTTAAAAAAAATATTTTACTCTAAAAATAAATTAAATTTAACAAATTACATATAGTTTAATGTATATATAAATTTATAATAGTAATTTGATGTATTTTCTTTATTTAAATGTACATAGTATGTTCATAATATATTTTTAGTTAATTTGTATTCTTTCAATTTTGTCCTATTGTCTTATTAAATTATTTTAAAAGTTTTTGCTATAAATTTTTTTTTAGAATTGTGCTGTTGTTTAATTCATTATTTTTTAAATAATTGTTTATATATGCATAGTACTTCAACAAATTAAAATAAAATGCCGTATTCCAAAAAGTGTAGATTAAATTCTACAAATATGTATGTTAAAGGTAAGTTTAATTATTTTATTTACTAATTTATTTAATTTTCGTTTTAATTAGAATTTAAGATAAATATTCTTTTGTTTTTGATTCTTACACTTAGAAAAATCGATGTTTATTTAATTTACTTTAAAAATAATATCTATGGATTTTTTTTAATTTTATATTTTATTTAAGAAAAATACACTCCTTACGTCATTTTAATTTAAAATTTACATAATGATTAGTTTTAAACCGTTTCCAAGTATATAAGGTTTACATTTTATTTAAGGTATGAATAATTTAAAATTTCTCTGTGCTTATTCATTTTTTGATATTTGTATATCTATTATTTTATTTTATATGTTTTATTTATAAATCATGTTTTTGTAAGATTTCATGTATAAATTAGTTAAAATTAATTTTGATAAATATTCGCGAGTTCTCAGAATTAATTTAATTTACTAATGTTTTTTTAAAATATCCAAAAAATACTACAAATCACTATTTATAAACAAATAAAAACAAGTACTTAAAGTTAAATATCAAAGTATATTTCATATAATAAGAATAACATTTATTTTTTTTAAAGAATATTTAATTAAGTCTAATATTATATTAATAATAATATTGTAAAATCCGACATTTTTTCAAAAAGTTTTATTATTTTACTTTTTAACCATAAACAAGTTTTAGACGTCTGTAATAAAATATTATTTAACATGAAATAAATAATAAAAATATAAATTATAAGTAGGTATAAGTACTGTTACAAAATTAGTACGTAATATTTGTCATTCTTAGTCTTGTATTTTTTTCCATCATAATATGTGTTAACGTGAGCTCAATGTCAAATATTACTGCCATATAGGTGATGTGATAGTAGAAGGGGTTTGTACCGATATTGGTATGGACAAGGCACAACTATGAATGCCGCAGTGTTGTTTTAGCGGTCGACCTCATTGGCGGTATATTACTACCTATATTATACGTTTGTAGCAGTAAAGCCTGTTCAAATTTGTTTCCCTAGAGAAAGTTAACTTAATATACATTTTTGTGAGAGTGTTTTTCTAGTCAATTACAAGATTTTGGTAAGATTTTACATTCATTGATTTGTTTTACTTACCTACACATAGTTACATATAATTCGAAATTGGCCATATAAATAATGACATACCTATGCGACTTATCACTATGATTTCTGATTCAATTATTTTACAATTATTGAGGTCATCATTAGTATTGTCACTTGTGTGATACTACCAATTTTTAATGTAGTATGCGTATTTAATATGCTGTAAATCTATTGAGTTAATAATTTTACCATAATGGTTAAGTTAATAGCAGACGCCAATAGTTTGTTCAGCTGATTATATAACTATCCTAAAAAATATATACTGAATTATAATTATTTTTTTAACATTTGGATTTACGCAATACTGAAATGAACACATTTTATATTTATTGAATGCTAAGGTTATAAAATAGTACATTTTTAAAAGAATAAAATCTCATTAACTTTTTATAAATTATAAATAAATATTAATTTAATAAATACTTAACTTGCTCTGAGAATAAAATAAATTGAATCAAAAACTAAGGGTGGAAAAATAAATTTAAATTATTATTATTAAATATTTAGTTATAATATAACCATATTATGGCCTTAGTACAATTAAAGATGGCGAATTAATTTACAATAATAAAAACCTTGTATTATGTATGTATCACGTAAACAATAAACAACTTAAGTTTTAATATTATTGGTGAATAGGTTTTTTTTTAGTAATAGACTAAATATTATAGAAAATAATTTTGTCTAATGTTTTCATAAATAATAAATGACCTTATAATAAATAAATTACTGTAATAGCATTCGTTATGGGGCACTTTATGGGGTATTGTTCATAGTTAAAATGGTTTTTTCATTTATCGTTTTCTTATAGCTAAATAAATAAATATTAGCTCCTAATTAAATTTCAGTTTTAATATAATTTTTGTGTTTTTGTTACTATATTTTGTTAAATACACCATTAGATATCTTATTTTAAATTTACACTAAAACTATAATATGACAAGAACATATAAACATACAACTATAATATGACAAGAAGTTAAATCTTCAACGATCGTAGTATGTATGTACTTATTTAGTGCTTACATTATTTATGAGTTAATTTGTACCTAAAGTAAAATTGATATTCATCGTTTTAAAATCGAATTAATTAAAACTATCAAAAAATAAATAGATATTTATTCTAATTTATTTTAATCACTTTAAAACAGAATTGAATTTTTTGTTATTTAAAAAGGAATAATCAATTTAGTTAAATTAAAGGGTAGGTGATAACATTTTCATATGTCAAAGATCAAGCTTTATTGAAAATATTTCTCTAGATTTTCCAATGAGATGGTAAATTAATTAATGATACAATTGATTTTGTGATTAAGAAAATAGTTTTGTTTATAGACTAAATTGTTTTGTAGATTAATAAAATAATAAATTAAATTAATATTCATAATACAAATATTAACTAATATATTACGTGTATTTATTTTTTGAACTATGTAAGATATAACATTGATTTTCAAAGAATAATTGTACTTTTTTAAATCGATGTTATTTTTGACCTAAATATTTTAATAGGAATGTTGGAATATTAAAAAATGTATATCTATCTAAAATTAAAATACACACTCACACAAACACACATACATACACACACACACACACACACACACATATATATATATAATTAAATCATTATAATTTATATTTTATCGATAATTATTAAAAAAAAAACAATGAATTATGAACAAAATTTTTTTTAAATGACAATTGTAAGATATAATATATGGTTTTTATTTTATCTTTAAAATAACACATTTGATTTACCCAAATTTCAATATTAAGGAGCATTTTAATCTTAGGTAAATACAATGGAAACGATTTAAGATTATTAAAATTAATATTTTTGTCTCCTTTATTATTACGAAAATTGTTATTTTCCTTGAATTTCCGGTATATTTTGATTTTCAAGGTTAAAACAGTTAATTCAATTGTTCAGTGAGAAGTTCCATTAATTAGTGCCGTATGTGTAAATTAAAGAAGGGAGAGATAATATAATAGTATTGTAATATGAGTTGCATGTACATTTTGACTTTCATTGTTTAAGTTAATTTTATTCTTGTTAACTATGTTATATTTGGTTATTTAACGAATTAATTATTTTATTTTTAGATTTTTACTAACTATGCCTGTGCCAAATGGAAAAATCGAAACGAATAGTCATAAAAAACAAAGGAGATGGTCACTGATTGGAATTTTATCGAAAAAAAAAAAATTAAAAAAAAGTCAAGAAAGTATGGATTTTTGTCCATATGATGGAAAAATTAATCAAAAAGTAGCAAAAAACAACCATTTAGAACGTTCGAATGATTACCTTATTCAGCAGTATACTTGCAGTCCCAGGCAAATAAGAAGATGTAATTCATTACAATACACAGGCAAAACGTCCGTGTACTCGAATATTACCAGTCAACCAACATCAATCGAATGGAAATCATCACAACAATCTGTTTGTAGCTCTAGCTCAAGTGCGTGTTATAGTGATATTGGTGTGTATAGAAATTGTGGGTTAAGTAGTAATCGATCGTCGTACTATATTGAAGAAGAAAATGAGCAAGCATCTCCGACCATGGAAAATTTGCCTTCTAGGTGTTCGTCTGAAATCGGTGATTATCAAAATAAAACTCGTTATCTCCAAAAGTACCATCAGCCTCCGGCGGTAAACCATACTAGAATAATAGGAAAAAAAATTCCACCCCCTCCTCCACCCAGGGATCCGAATGTAAAAGCGGTGTATTATTTTAGAAACAATAGACTCATGTCGCGTGAATCGGATTCTACATATTTTTCTCAGGGTTCTGATGATAATATTCCAGACCAAATTAACGAATACGACATTAAATGTAAAAACGAATATTATGAAAAAGAACCGCCTCGAAGCAGACGACCGATTCAAATATATGACGTTGAGACTTTGTCCACCGAGTCTGAGAACTCGGAGCTAAGGACACAAAGCGTAGAAGAAGCTATTCAAGAGTTAGAAGACATTTATAATAGCCTAGGACTGAGCGATGAGGATTTGCTGGACAGAGCAGAACGGCGAGACCTGCCTACGTTGCATCAAAATATGCAATATGAAAGTTTTGACGAGTTGGACGGTGTAACATTTAAAAGATTACTACCCAAGACTCGACGGTCCAGAGTACCGGATATCGTGTCTGACGACATGGCTTACAGAAGACTGAACAAAAAAGAACCGACACGGTCAACTTTCGTTCCTGGAAGTTTTCTCTTAGTATTGCCGACGGTTTACAATGTGGATAAAACTATTAAGCGGTCCGAGGAAAAACCGTCCGGCGAACCTGATATCACTCTCGATGACGTTGTGTTCAGAAGTCGCAGGCAGCACCTTAACTTCCTCAAGATCTCGGATCCACAACCACCGTTTGGAATTCCTTTGGGTCCGATCGTAGGAACGGCCGCCAGTGATTATTTGCACGCGGTTCCCGAAGGCCGGTACAAACCTTCATTTCATCCGAGAAAAGTGCCGGACACCGTCGAAGACGATCTGGCGTTTCGGACGCTCCGAAAGGACAACAAGTACAAGACGTGTATCGACTTTTCTTTCCTACACAGGAACAGATTGAACACGGACTATCTGCTTCCCAGGCCGGAGAGAAATAGCAGGATAAATAACGACACGCATTGGATGGCGAGGAGATCGGCGGCCGGCGAACAGACTAGTAGTAATAAAAGCCGAGTGAAATTCTTGTTCGACCGTCCGGTCGGAGACGGACGACGTCAAAACCTGATGGTAGTGAAAATCAATCACCATAAACCGATTATATTGTCTGGGTTCGATTTAAACGAAGCCAATCAATTGAGTGAGTCTTTTTTTTGCACGAAATCGTTACAGCACGAGCATCATCGTAGCAACAGACTACGTTTAACGAACCGCACATGCAGCGCTTCTACGCCGAACGGCGGCGGCGCGTCACAATCGTTAACAATTTCTAACCGCGCGTCAGACGGACCCGAGTGGTCGGCCGAGGTCGTAACGCGCCAGCGTCGCGCGAAAAGCCACCGGCACGCGAGTGTCGGCGTCCCGCAGCTCGAGGCGGCCGTGAAACGCGAGTCGGCCAGCGTCGGTCGGGACGCGCGACCGTTGGTCGTGCAGTTCACGGATTTGTCGGCCGACGACGGTCGGTCGGCACGCGGCTGCGGCAAAAGCCAACCGAACTTCCGCGAGCTCATTCTGCGGGAATACCGCAGCTACAGGTATCCGCCGTCGACGACGGACGACCGACTGCCGGAAGCCGACCGGTCGCGCGGAGCGATCGACGTGATCGACGATCGCGTCGCGAGTGACGACCGCGACACGACGAACAGTCGCGCGACCACCGCCGCCGGTTACGCGTGTCCTGCCGAGACCGGGAGCCGGTTCGAATCCAGCTGCAACGTCGCCGCGACCGGGAACGTCCCGGAAAACCGTACCGAGACGACCGAAAGACCGGTGGACCCGTCGTCATCTTCGCCGTCCGCGGAGTACCCGAATCGCGCGCCCGGATATCTGGAGGTGTGCTTGTACATCACGATATATATTTACCATTTGTTTAGCGTAAACGCGTACAGCACGTACATAGCGTTGATATTTCTCGTAGCTTTACATCTTTGTAGACGCCTGTCTTAAAACGGCTATAATAATATGAATACCTTTGTTTTGCAACAGTCTACCTGTCGTTGAATTAATGTTTTAAGCTTTTTGTTGCTTTTTTTTCTACTACTACTACTACCACTTCTACTATTACCATTATTGTTATTATTATAATATTATTATTATTATTATTATTATTATTATTATTGTTATTATATTTATTCGTTATGCGCAAGTGTTATATTATTCGGTGCAAACCAAATGTTTGTGTATACGGTATACGCGCTGTGTACGTTTAGTCGGTTTCGTAATAAAAAAATAAAATAAAAAAAATACGCAATGTATACACAAGCTGGGAGAAAATAAAAACTGCACTACGCATATTATATATATTATTACACAGTTGGTTTTTTACCTTATCCCCTCTCCCATTGTACCTATATCTCTCAGGCTCTGTGTCTCTCCCCGTCTGTGTAATTTAGTGTGCGACTGTTGTCGTGAATTATACCTCATACCTTTATCATAAAAATATTTAGTCTGTCGAAAAAACAAAACAAACATTATGAATACATACTAAGTTTGAGAAATAATGACTGAGAATGAGCGCGCAGGTATGGTTTGAACAATAAAATAATATGTACCTATGTTATAATAATTAAACTTCATCTTGACCCACCAAATAAAGAAATACTTGACAATAGACTCGGAGGTGTGTCGTTTTGTCAGTTAAATTAAAAATCACGATTTTTTTTTTTTTTTTTTTGATTCGCAGACCTACGTTACACAGAATAATAATTTTTTTTTGTTTCTTATTGCTAATAAAAATCAATGTCTATAGTATCAATTATTTTTATTACAATTCTCTCTTGTTTCACTCTATTAAATATTTACTATGCCTGTAATGTTAATGGTCGAGTTTTAAAATATAATCATTATTTTTAAATTTTTACAAGTTTTATGTATTACATTTTTGAATTAGGTAGTTAACTTTCTTATTCGATAGTTGATAAGTGACAACTTTCTCTAAATTGAATACTCGAATTCTTCGCTTTAATTTCGCCCTAAGGATATTTGCAACTCGCTTTTTTCTTCGTAATACTTATTATACTATTATACATATCATATACGTTAAGTAGTTATTCATAAATCTATTTTTGAGGTATAAATTATCTTTGGGATAGGAATGTAGTGAAAATCCTGAATACTGTTTAACTAATACAAAGCACATATTAACATTTTTATAATGGTCCCAGCACAAAGCATATGGCCGAGCACTCGCCTAAACATTATTTTTGAATTATGAAATGACGATTTGTATTTTGTTACTAACATTCTTAACATTTTAGTTAAATCCCAATTTTTTAGCTATTACATTATCAATTTTTACAACATATATGATTGTTTTCCAGGATGGCAAGGATGTAACTTAACATTACTTATTTGAAAACACCAACATATTATGATGTAAGTATATTATTTTTTGTAAATACGAATGGTATTTTACTTTTTATAAATCTTTTAATACGTATAATTTGGCAAATTTAATATACAAAGTTATTGTATTGTTATAAACATACTAATACAAAATAATTTCAATTTATAAGCTAATACAGCTCGAAAACCATTGATAATATTAATAGTAGACAAAAAGTGACCAACGTGCTAAAATTTTTTAGTTTAATTACCATACAAAACATAAAAAAAAAAAAACAATGAATTCTTCAGTACTTAACTGAATTAATTAAAATAGCATGATAATTAAAATTATTTTTATTTACTGGATAAGTTATTGATCATTAAGTAATGATAATTATTAATAACTTATACATAACTATCGCTGTTAATTTCTTTGACTATATAATTATATAATACATTTATTTTGTTACTAACTTAAGTAACAGTAACGAAATAACAACAAATATACCTATGAACTTATCATAAATATTACATTTTTATCTTTCTAATGAACCCGGAAGACAAAATTACAAAGTGTTTATTATTCAACATTTTTTAAAAATATAATTTAAAAATAAAAATAAAACATTGTTTTAATCATTTCATTTTTAATAATTAAATACGCATTCACATATTAATAAAAAAAAAACCTTTGTGGGTGTAGTTATATTGTTTTATTTTTATTCAAAATTCTTTAAATTATTATTTTCTCGCTATGAATGTAAAATGTTAATCATTAATTAGTTAAATAATAAAATATTTATGACTTAATAATTATGAGATTTTAATGTTATGCTTTATGTGTGTAATATGCAACGCTTTAAACATAATAAATATTGATCTGGGTTCGTAATTATAATTTTAGAAACTTAATTTAATCGAGTTTCTTATTCGAAATTATTGAATTTTATTTTAAAATCGAGAGTTGAAATATGTATCAATACAACTGTTGTAAATTTATGTTATAAAATTATTTCCATTAGCCATTAGGCGATCATAAAATGCATGTTTTATATCTATAATAGAAACAACAAAATATTATACTAATATTATAGTCTTATACCTAAATCTTTCAATAAAATTAATTTAATCGTTTTTTTAAAACCCAAGTGACATATTTATGTGTAGATACTATTACTGTCTACTTTAAAGTTAACTTATTTCGCCAAAGCATTACAACTCATAAATATATAAATATATTTTTGAATTGTGTGACTGTATAAGAAGATTAGTTACGTATGTAATTCCTTTAGAGTTACAATCAGCGTTAGTAAAATATATTATCCCGTTAATTATATCCAGAGGCCTATCAGGCTTATTGTGCATTATAGAATTCCTCATACTTAATACTGAAAATAGTTTTCTTTCCTTCTTTTTACCAATTATCTTGGAACTGAGTGTGAATGGTATTCTCTTTGTTTTCCGAAAACCGAGTCGAGTCTATCGTCAGATTTCACTAAAATCATTGAGCGTGTAATAGACCAAAGCTGGAAAACGCTACTAGGTACCTTTCATTAATACTAGGATGACGGTAAATCATTCGATTGTGAAGGTCTATTAAATATTGGAGGGGATCGGTTACTCTCAAACCATGTAAGGTTGCATTAAGATCGTGGCCAAAGATGTTATTCATTAATTCATGCACATCGGTGCAGCGCGACCTGTTTGTTGTTGTTGTTGATATTATTATTATTATTATTATTATCATCATTATTAATATTATATCAATATTGTGTCGTCAGACTAAGTGATTTTTTTTTTTCAGCTCAAAATGCATTAATTATTTATCAGATTTATATGTAAGTAGTTATATTTTTAATTCATTCGAATATTTATTGAGCTCAAGTGATCGAATTTCACATATCAATAATCATCACAGTATGGACAATCAACTTAACTGCAAATCTATTTTGAAACGGAAATCTCTCGAAATGTCCACTGAAGATAGTTCAACGCCTGTGATAATGCCCGAAGACCCACAAACCCAGAGTTCCTTTAAAAATGTTAACCTTAAGTCTTGCAGGCAGGGTATACTAAAAAAGCATTCGGCCAGTTTTGACGACGATTCAACACAAAAACCAATATTGAAAAACCGTTGCTTGTCTTGCGACGACGATGAATCTTTGCTTAATTTTAATGAGCTCCATTCCATACTGAAACGAAAAACAAGCGAACAGTATGACAACTCAGAACCCCATGGGATATTGAAAAAACGCGAACTGGTCGTCCACCAGCTGGACCATTTTCAGCCACCGGTGGATGAGGACATTAGACCCATTTTGAAACAAAAGAAATTCGAATCCGATTCTGCGGACGAGAACAATTACCCCAGACCGATTTTGAAGAAGAAATCAATCGATTCGTCGGACGATAAAAGACCGATTTTGAAATCGTCTAGAAGTAATAGTCCAGCTAAAAACGTCAACTCCAAACGGCTCTCGGTGGCGCAGCGAATCTCAAATTTGGAGTCAATTATGCATGATCCCAACACCTACAAGAAACCGGTCAAAGAAAATTTGCGGAGTAGCCGCGACCGTTCAAGATTTCATACGCAACCCGTAACGCCGAGTGAAATCAAAGCTATTAAAAAGTACGTTGTTCATTATGATTTCAAGGTGAAAAATCGCATTGCATACAAGTGTATATGTATAACGTGCGTGCATTTATGTATAATGTATATAATACGTGTGTCTACGTAAGTGTTGGTGTATTTATATTGTGTTATCATATTTTCTAGAACAACGCGTACGGAGAACAACTTACAGAATATTTCAACACCAAATCACACGACCGATAAATTAGCGACTGATGTTGTTACAGAGATAAATAACAGGGATACGCCAACCTGTGCGGCCTTGAAGCGTACAAATAGTGTTTTAGCAAAAACTAAAGAATTCCAGAGCATTTGCGATAAAGCTTCCAATACTTCCATATCAGATGTCAACTGTAATATTACAGGTATTTATTAATCATTCAGCCGTTGTGCCTTATCTTTTTAAGCAGTGTGTTCATTTCAGCTTATCTTTTCAATTTGTTTTATGAAAATCACAATAATAATAGGTATAATGAGCCGTTAGATAATAATTATCGTAACAGAATTATCATTTCTTTAAAAAAAAAAAATTGTTCGTTATAATTTATTTTTTATTTTTTCATAAACTATATTTGTTATTCTAACAACTTTTAAACGGGTTTCTGAACTTTTGCTATCAAAAATTGTAACTTAAAAGTATTGTTTTAAGTGTTTTTACTTTTTATTTACTATAATCTGTTTATAATAGTGCAATGAATCATCATTAGATAACCTCTTAATAAACATAATAAAAACATAGTTATTAATATTTTAAATTTATCTTTGCAATAATTTGTGACTTAATTTCAATCAGTAATACCATAATTGGATTCAGTGTAGGAGATTAATTTGTACAATAACTGTTGATATGATATTTAATAGTTTTTCTCAAAATAAATATATGTATATGTATAAATATTAAAATATATGCATATTATGTATAAATAGCCAAAAGTAATTCATCGAAGTACAAACAGTGCCAAGAAAAGAAGCTGAGTGTTGCCAATCGTTACTCAACACAGCCAGTGACCAACCACGAACTAGAAGAAGCGAAAAATCTGAATAGCATAAAAAGCAAAACCGATGATAATAATGGTATGTCACGTACTTGTAGCAAGTGTTATGTAAATAACAATGATTATAATTAGCTTCAGTAGGTTGTAATATACAGGTATTATAGTATGCATTATATATATATATATATATATATATATATTTCCTAAATAACAGTAACATAATATATTGTAAACGCAGTATTTAATTTACTTCTTCTTTTTAAAATTAGCCTGCTATAATAAAAACTAATGCAGTTCATTATTTAACGTACCTAGTAGTTTAATTTTTATTTTAATTAACTGTAGAAATTTAGCTTGATTTCTAAAAAAAATTTCTTTCGTTATATACATACGTTAAGTGAATCATATTTGGATCTGAAGTTAAATTGTTGTTATTAGTAGTTCACTTATGATTAGTCACGAGTGAATTTATGTATAATATTGCAATGTAATAAATTAGTAATTAATGCTTGAGAGTATTTAATTAGATATAATTGTATTTTGCTTTTGCATGTATTTTGGTGAATGTTTTTGATTTCTGCTTAAAATGTAAAAGGAAGATTGCCAAAGAAGAAAATAGGAAGCTTTATTATGGACCGAATGCGTCTATTTAATGGTAATGTTAAATATTTTTCCAAATAATATTCAATTAATTTTCCACTTATTCACTCATAAATAAAACCTAGCGTATTTTTTCTTTAAATTAATAATATGTATGGTGTATAATTTAGGTAATACTTGTACAATTGATATAGACAAAGTAAAGAAACATATAGATCTAAATAACAGAATGGCAGATCCAATAAAAAAAGTAACAGAAAGTCTTAAAGAACAAACTCTAGATAAAATAAATGATGAAACTACGGTGTTTAAAATCCAACCAAAGAAAATTATAGAGATGAAAGTGCAATCAAAAAATGATAAGAAAAAAACGTCTGAGATAAGAATTCAATCAAGAGACAACGTAAAAAAATCATCTGATATGAAAGTTCCTTCAAAAGACGAAACAAAAAAAAACCCAGAAATTAAAGTCCAACGTGTAAAATCGTTGAAAGAGCCTGCAGTAGACAACGAGCGTGCTAAAAACAGGATTTCCCGAAATGTTGCTTTAAATCGATCGTTCAACACTAATTCAAAATTGGAATTGCTTAAGTAGAGTTTTGTTTTTAAACATATGAAAGTTGTTGTCGTTAAATTAAATTTTCATTTTTTAGACAACAGAAATTTGATGCCAAAAGTAAAGAAAATGAAGAATTTTCTAAACCTAAAAAGCACATCGAGCCGTCTAATGACAACACTGATGGTACTTCATTTGTTAATGGAGGTTCTATCAAAGATAGGTTGGTAGCTTTGAAGAAAAGCGGACAAATGGATTGGCAAAAGAGAATATCGAAAATAAAACCCGAGGACCACGAAGTGTCAAATAACTCAATAAATGTAAGTTCTCTATAATAATGTTATTAGAAACAAAAATTAATTGTACTTTTTTAGACGGCTCAAGATTTATTGCGGAAACAACTCACTAGACAAGTGAAGTCTGCTGAAGAACCAGTTGAATGTTTAGATAATATTCTAGTAGATCGACTTAATCGACTTGAAACTTCTTCTAAGGATTGGAAAAAACGAATTGAACAAAAGGACACTACTAATTTTACAGTTGCCGGAAAAATGCAGAATAAATCATTGCCACCGCTATCACCTGTTCTTATGTCAATCACTCAGCGTTCTTCATTAGAAAAATCGTCTACAAGTAATTGTATTGCATTACTAATTTTTATTGATTTTAATCGATTGTGTTCACTTAGGTATTATAAGAAATAAAAATGTAGCCGAATCTACAAAACAATCGACCATTAGACGGAGTTTATCGATGTCCGACAATAAGACTAAGTCATATCTAAACAACAAGTCTGAAAAAATACCTTTGGAAAATGGATCCAATAATACAGCCAAAGAAAAAACTGTAAATGTACCAATTATGATTGATGATGATTTTGATAAATTTTTCGGTAATTCAACTCAAAAGTCTCAAGATGAGCAAATCGATGATTTAGATTTTGATCATTTAAAATCGTCACGATCTGATCTGTAAGATTATATTTTCATTGTTAATGTAATTTTATCGTAAAAAACAGAGTTTCCTGATGTATTGTATTTTATATTTACAGACTCGTGCAGCGAAAAAAGGTTAAAGTTCAGCACAGGAAGCATGAAGGGTCAAAAAATCCACTCAAAGCATTCGCAACAAATCAAGATTTAGTTCAGCATCAATATACAGAAAACAAATCTAATTTATTACTGACCCGTAGTTTAGAAACATGTAAGTTTCAGTAATGTGTATTTAATTTGTTGATCTTGGTTAATTATTGTCGTTGTGGTTTGATATATAGCGACAATAAAGACTCCGTTGGCTCGGGAAGCTCTTGCAGCATTAGCCAGTAAAGAAGATTTCGCATCGGTGAATCTCCGAAAATCAGGTGATTCGACGCCTTCTCTATTGCCACCGTACAAAGATCTGATGTTATTACATATAAAAGGCCGACGGCGAGTTCAGACACGACTAGTATCACCAACCGCTGACTCCGTCAATCAAGGCGATTGCTATGTATTAGTTACGCCAACACAAGTAATATTCAACTCATATATTAACTTTTATTAATAATAATACTGTGCGAATTTAATGATTTAAAATTATCTTTCCGAGAAAGTAGTTGTCAACATTTTTTAAATATTTTAAATAATTTACTAAAAATATATTAATTAATTCCATACTATTAAAATAATTGTTCTAGAATAAATATACATATATATATATAAATCTATATGCCGGTACATAAATCTTTTTTTTGTTATCTTAAGGCGCGTCCAAACTATGCCGGTATATGCCATCTTGATGTATTGCCACTTAGTTTTCTTTCATCCGGACCGAAATTTGTCGGAGTCGGCCTGGTAAGTCAGTTGGCAAAATTTTGCTAAATGGCACGTGCTAACATAAATTCCACATCACTCTTGGCAATGGCATTTGTCAAAGCCTCATGGTATGGTGTGGACGCACCTTTAGAAATTAACACGAACATGATTATGATATATGGTTTATAAATATATAAACTTATTTCCATTTAGACGTTAAAAAAAACAAAGACAACTCTTACCGTTTATACTTTTCAAGCGATTTCATCTAATACATTTAATTGTTTTATTTGTCTTAATTATACTCGTTATTTTATTTAGATTTTCGTGTGGATAGGAGAATATTCAAATGTTATTGAACGATCACATGCTGCTAAAGTAGCTCAAAGCATTTTTGACAAGAAAGATCTGGGCTGTAAATCAGCCAACCAGCTGTACACAATCAACTGCGATTCGTCGTTGCCCAACAGTCAACTAGAAAAGAAATTTTGGACTCTTCTGGGTGTTACTTCAAGTGAAACGTCTTCCATTAAAGGTAAAATGACAACAACTTTTCTGTGTGTTGATTTTAATAATATACTATGCGTATAGGCCAAGGAGCGGGACACCCAGACGAGGACGAATTGTATGAAGCAGCTATTGTTTCTACAAACGTTGTGTACGAGGTCGTTAATGACGAACTTGTGGTTTTGCCGGAAATATCGGAAACCATGGCTAAAATAGAAATATTAGATGCTTCTAAAGTAAGAACTTTTTTTTTTTTTATCATTCCATATTATTTCTACTAAAAGTGAGATAATTATTAATGTGTTTCAGACGTTGGTTTTCGACTTTGGTAGCGAAATCTACGTATGGTATGGCAAAAACGTGAACATCACCAAACGCAAACCAGCCATTCGCTTAGCTCGCCAGTTGTTTGATGATGGTTACGATTATTCACAATACGACGTTAGCCCAATCGATGTGGCCATGTGTTTAGGAGATAGAAGTGAATATTTTATTTCTGTACATTTATAAATATATATATTTTTATACTTTTTATACTCATATTATATTATATACTTATTATCAGATAAAGACACAGTATACGTGAAATCTGGAGCCAAAAGACCTGATTGGACACTATTTGCAAAAATCACGCAACACATGGAAACAGTGTTATTCCGTGAAAAGTTTGCAGATTGGCCAGATTACAGCCGGGTTATAAAACCACCAAAAGAGAATGGTGAAAAAAAAAATGGAGAAAAAGATACTTGCGTTAGTTTTATTTTCTTTTTATTTTTGTTAATACTCTGAGTTTTAAAAAATTTAAACACTAACATTTTATTTTAGATTGATTGGTCTACTGAAATAAATGCTTATAGTGCAGAGGAGATGTTAAAAATGTCAATACAAGACCCAGATTTAGTTTTGGGGGGTAGTCATCTTGGTCGTGGATCTTCTTATTATGATCAAGAAGTAAGTGATATTTTAGTTTATTTTCATTATTGTGATTATTGGTTTTTATTTTTGTGTATTATAGACTTTACGTGAGTTTGTCATAAATACAATCAGTGTGACTGTATGGCATGTCCAAGAATTTGATAGCACTGAGATGGGCCCAAAGTCAGTTGGTCATTTCCACAGTGGGGACTCATATATTATACGATGGATGTATAATGTTTCTATTCAAGGTAATTTTTAAAATTACTTTGTGGTATGCTTTACTTAGACAATAATGTGTTGATAATTGTTCCCAATCAGGAAGAGAACTTAGTGGCTTGCCTTCTCGTCGCATGGTTACATCAGGTAGAAATCGTTGTGCATACTGGTACTGGCACGGCCGAAATGCAACTCAAAATGATCAGGGTGCTGCTGCCTTGTTAACTGTTCAATTGGACACTGAACAAGGCCCGCAATTGAGAATTGATCAAGGACATGAGCCACCAGCTTTTTGGAATTTGTTCAAAGGGAAAGCAATTGTTTATCGAGAAAAAAGAAATCAGACTATAAGTACTAAAATGATCTATTTTATTTGTTAGTTTACCATATATTTTAATTTAATATTGCTGATTTCAGATACTTGGCGTTTGTTCATGGTCAAGGGATCAAATGAAGATGAAGTCCATTTATCTGAAGTGTTGTGTTCTACAACACAATTACGTAGCCAAACTTCATTTATTTTACTTAACTCTGAAAATGGTACAGTTATAGTTTGGCATGGACATGGATCTACAGATATAATTAAGAAGGTACACATTTAATTTAAAATTTAAATAATTAAATTATTTATCATTCAACCTTAGAATTTGAATTTGACTATTATTTAGAACCGAATGAGCAATGGACATTATCCATTTATTTATCTTTTTTTTTTTGTGTTCCATATAAAATTAAACTGTTATTTTTAAATCGTTTCTTTGATTCATATTATTGGTTGCTAATTTAAAATTCTTTTATTAATTTTTGATTGTATCAAACAATATTTTTATTTACTTATTTAATTAATTGAGATGTCTTTATTTGATATATTTAATTTAAATAATATAAATATTTTAAAAACTTAAAAATATGTTTTTAAAGTATATTAAATACTTGTCTAGTTCTAGTTTAAATATCAAAGATAAATATTTTATTTATAATGATTATTAATTATCATTTATTTATTTGAAACTTATTTAGAGTTGGACAAATATTACTTTTTGAGGCAGACCAAGTATTATTTTTATTATTATTATTACTATTATTATTATTTTTGTTGACATTTTTATTAAAATTTATAAGTAAGAAAATATAATGGGTCAGAATTGAGGTTTTAATTTTTAATTCACATATTTCAGCACACCAGCCGATCTTTATTATTTTTCAATATATTTAACCCATTTTTACATTAAACAATTACAGTTTTTAGCTAAGCATGTAAAACAATATTACAAATAAATATTTTAAATCAATTATTAATCAGACACAGATATTATTGTCTATTTAATTTAATTTATATTTATTTATTAAAAATTCAAAATTTTTAGACCATTAAAAATCGAAAATATTGTAAATACATACTATGGTTTTAATCATGCTTTGAGTTTATTCAACAAACACATTTTAATAAGTGTATCACCATAGACGATTATTTTAATTAAATCCAAACATAATAATTAATCAATAATATCATCTTAACATGGTTATAATTTATAAATATTACAATATTAAAAATATTCAATCTTTTATTAGATAAATAACTTAACGATTCATTAAAATATTTTCTTGCTCTTATTTTAAGTACTAGTAATTTGGCACGATAAGCAATTAGTTTACACTTCTACTTGTACAACATATTAAGTATATTGCGATTTGATAATATTACTACACTACCTCGTTTACTAACGATGCAGTAAAACTCACCAGAATACAGTTAGATTTTCTTTTTCTATATTGTTTAGTCGTTGCCATAATTGTATTTTATATTAAATATTTACACTGTTAACTTTTTGCTTGGAAAAATTAATTTAAAACATTGTAAAATTGGGAAAATTAATAACCGCTTAAATTTAATTAATACATTTACACATATACATATGAATTTTTATGTTAGAATATGTGTTATTTATTTCCATTTAGGGCATAAAATAACCGCACTGATTTTCGTGCTACACACGCCTATTATAATTAATAGTATTATTGTACTGCTGCACGTTTTGCACTTTTCTAATCATAATACATACCCATAGGCGTGCGCAGACTTATATTTTAGGAGATGCTTACAATACTTTTGGGTCCTATCTTAACGAAACGTGTAGGTAAATTTAATAAATTATATCATATAAATAATTTAATAAACATTACTTTAATTTTTTATTTAACATTATTGTATATTATACCCAATGAATATGTTTTTCTTGAATTTCATATATTTTTCTCTGATAGCTTCAATTGTTTATGAATTGTACTTTTGTAGCAGTTAAATTTTCATAATAAGTTTTCACACGAAAATTTAAAAAAATTAGTTTTATTTTTTTTATTACAAAACAATTTACTTTTACCAAATATTTTAGAAAAAATTACATTTAATTTGAGGAACATCAGTTAAGACACGGGCTTCTTACTCTTAGGCTTAAATTTAACGGTCCGGTTTACAAAATTTCGTGGTGTGCTCAGGCATACCCCCCGTGCGCACACCTATGTACATACTCATATTATATATAATATATAATAAATATTTATTACGTTTTTAATTATTTGTCTGAGAATGGTTTGTATTTTAGTTACGATCAGAGTCGTGAACAAAATCACTAACAGGAGTAAAACGCAAATCGTAGGAGGGGTGAGACATGGCGTTTAATCATGTATCTAATATTTTTATATCATATTATATTCAGGGTTGTAGAATGTCAAGGGAATCGTTCGATTCTAAATAGTTTTGTTTTTGTGAATGTGTTTTAGTTGTCGATGAAAGTAGCCAATCACCTGTCGGAATTGGATAGTACAGAGCTAGGTCTGACCGAAGGCGTCGTTCTGCAGGAACCAAAAACGATAGATGAGACGAATGAGCCGCCAGAATTCTTTCAAGGTATGTAAAACCGGAACACCAACAAGAAAACTTGTAAAATCAGGATAAGTGATCAAGTGAACGAATTAGAAACATGAAAATTCATGGTTTGTTTTTTTTAGCTTTGGGTTGCAAGAACTCTAGACGACTCCACGTCGGTCCATCGTTGGGAACTGGTGGCAACGATATGAAACTCTTTCACTTTTCTTCGATGCTCGGACAGTTTAAAGCCTCGTTGGTGAATAGCGCCTACGTCCCATCGCCCTTCCCATACTTACAAGATCACCTATACAACGTCAGCCAACCAGGTAAAAATAATATTGTAGTTTTAACGTTTTATCTGGGTGTTCTGTCGGGCGACTTCCGAGTGCGTCCCAAAATGTCCCTTATTTAATGTTCCGAATGCGTCCGGAATAAGGTCTCGCCCAAGTGCGTCCCAAGAGAAAAAGGTCACTACTTTGACGAAGCCCAAGTGCGTCCCAGTTCATTTAGAGTTACCCAGGGTGCACCACGAGGAGGTGAACTGGCTTACACCCCAAAAATATTTGGTTAGTAAATATATATGTTTTTTTTACTCAGCACCATCGTTTTACATCATCATTCAACATTTTATGAAATCTCATTTTATATCTCTTAATAATTTTAAGTTCCTTACCGTGTTGGCTGATCATATTCGACGGCAACAACATCGACATCTTTCAAATATATAGAACTTACGTTATATTATGTAATAACATTAATTAATATAAAATGTTAATTAAATATATTAAAATGATAATGTTAGCTGCATACCCATCACTACACATACTGCACGTGGTTGTCGAAGACTAGTTACGAATAGTATGTTTCTATGTTTGGAGTATAGTGTAAATGCAAACAAACACGGTGCAATATTAGTTATCAATTTATTTTTATCCATAAAGATAAATATTGTTAGCAATAATATCGCGAACGCACATGGGATATACCAACATTTTTAGTGATACGATAGCGGACGCAGTCGGGATATACCAAAATTTTTAGTGATATGATCGCGGACGCAATTGAGTTATTAAAAAGGTACGATATGATTAACAGGACGCATTCGGGCGACGCCCGTTCTGTCCGCAATCGTATTGACAACGACTTTGATACCGTATAATTGTACCGATAAAATTAAACTGCAAATTTAGTATATTACGACTAAAAAGTATTATGCAAGACAACCTCTTATTATTCATAAATTATCTATTTCAAGTAAATGAAAAAAAAAATTTCTGGACGGTCAAATTTTTTATAGAACTTTTTTAAATTTGAACTATGACGAAACGCCAATTGTTTTATGTACAAACTGTCGATTATTTTATCATAGTGTGGCAATTTTTTGAAGAAACTTGAAAAGAAATGCTTTAGAAGGAAAGTATTTAATGCTGTTCTGTGACAAATTGTAAGATCATATACGTATGTCCGTGTATTTACACGTGGCAAAGAAAAGTCCGTTTCGGGTGGAAAACGGCAATATTCTCGCCTCTCGACACTCAGCCGGTCTCATGTCTAGAGAGTAGGGAATCAGTGGCGCTAATGCGCTATATGTTAATATTTCAGTAGTGACTTCAGTAGTGACTATTTCAGTAGTATCTAGTAGTTCGGTCTGCGAGTCATTAGTTATTGTGAATCATAAACAAATGAAGTTGGTGATAAACTCGTTGGTACCCACTGCCCGATAGTTAATCCACATTAATCCTCGTGTCTTATTTATCTAATAATATTATTCGTATAATGCAAATAATATTAGGTTCTAAATCCAACCGTGGGTCGGCGGTGGTCGGGTCCCATCGTTTTATGAGCACATGTCTGCACATGAACTGTTTGGTTTCGGCGCCACTGCAGGCAATAAGGGATGACTTAAAATTGATAAATTATCTATTTTTCTTCAAATCTATAATATATCTATAATAATTTTTATGTAGGATTATATGACGTTCTACGCGCATTATGCTTAAAATTTGCTGTTTAGTTGTTCGTTCAATGTAAGTAATAGTTGTACATACGAGCAATGCCTGATACGTATATCGCTTTTCGGGACGTTATTGACTGTGAACAAATTAATATACAAATAAATAAAAACGACGAGAGCCTTTCGGTGGCCGTCCGGACGCGTGGACCCCATCCCTGTCGAGGACCACCGTCCGTCAACCGAATAATATCTCCCTCCCCCGTTTTCGTGTTTCCGCAGCCACTTTTATGTTGGACACCGGCGAGGAGCTGTGGCTGTGGCAAGGGTGGTGGCCCGAGACGGCGACGGACGACAACGCGGTGACGGACGCCGAACAATCGGTGGTGGCCGACCATCGCGGGTCGTCGTGGACGCGGTTGCAGGCAGAGAGACGCGCGGCCATGCAGACCGCTCTCGACTACTGGAGGCGTAAGTTCGGCGACGACGACGAGAACGACCCGAGAGCGTATCTGGTGTGGGCCGGGCTTGAGCCGCTCCGGTTCACCGACCGCTTCCCGGAATGGCAAGACCGCGACGACATCGCCGAGATCAACATGAAGGTAAACGCCATTATATCATTATCTCATTATAACACCGTGTGATGTACAATGGTGCGAACGATAACGTTTAGAAAAACATTGCTAAACGAAAGAAAGAAAAATGCTTAAAAAAAAGTCTACCTTTGTAGGTGGTCCCCTACCCTTGTCGTTACCTTGACGGGTCTTTCGGTCGGTTATTTTTGTTTTAAGGACATCGACATGATAGTTAATTAATGTTTGTTTTCCATTCGAAAACCATCCGAAGATAGATTTTGTATTGCGGTTTAGCGTTATTTTCGATATATAAACGGGTGTGTGTAATGCCTAAATGTGTACTGCAGATTTATTTCCATTAAGATTCTTAACGAATGTATATGTAGGTGTATAAATATTTATGTACCGTTTTTATCGTTAATCTCTGTTATTATTTCATTAAAAGTGATTTTCATTATAATTATTTCTCCTGTTATCACTATTATTATATTATTACGTCAACCTCTCCTATTAGGTACCTATTATTATTTCTATTGTTATTAAATCTTAATTTATTTTTATTAGTGAGTACTATAACAATATGTCTGCAGTACGTCGTCTCTGTCTAATTTTAATTAAATTCCTTTTCATTTTGCCACTCCTATATAGTTGTATAACTCAATACCTAGCTTGTTTTGAAGTAGATGAATTTCTAGTTTTTATTGTATCATTATATTGTGATTATATACTAACACATACAAAAATAATTGTTTGACATTTATAACTTTTGTAAAAATCTTATAATTTATTAATTGCACTTGCATTACAGTTCATTGTAATCTTCTATATGATTTGAATATAAATTAATTACGCTCGCACTTCAATTTATTTTCTGTGTTCTATGATTAATGGTACGAGTACATCCGTGTGTATATATATATATATATTAATTTCACTGAACGTAAAGTCTTTAAATTTACCCATTAAAAAATGAATAACGTGTTCTTCTCACTCGTATAAATTGAAATCAAACAGGTTTGCTTAATTCAAGAAGTATTCGGAATTATATTTTTTCTAAATTTTCTATTAAACTTAATCATTCATCAATCTATTTTCTAATATCATGGAAAGGCGACTCATAACCACTTACTATCGGGGTGGTAAAAATATATTTTTATGTACATTTTGGTTAAATAAATTAAAATTTAGTAGACATACCAGTATATTTATGAACATATTTAGAGTTACACAATTGACGTTTTAGCGTTTAAGTAGTTTTTTCAATGTGTTATGAAGGAAGCCAGAACAATTTTTTTGGGGTAGGGGGGTGTTTTAAATTAATCTGCCACGGTAAAATGTAAATGTTCAAACCGTCTTTGATCTCATGAGATAATTATTATTATTATCAATTAATTTTTATAAATTCAATATTATTAGTTCTAATTATGAATATATAACATGTTTTTTTAAGTACAAAATTTACTAATACAAAAAATACAATTTTTTTAATTTCATTAATACTTCTTTCTTGATTAAATTCAATATATTTAGTGCTCATTGTATGTTGATAAATATTGGTTTTTAATTCCTTGAACTAATTATTGAAGTGGATTTGTGCAATTTCTTTTTATCCGTGATTTATCTGATTGGAGTTAAAAAAAAAAAAAAAAAAAAATGTAAGCAATTATGATTTATCAGGGATTTCTAAAAACCTTACCAAATATGCCAAATTTGTATTACGCATACGAATATTCAGTATATTGCGATTAGTTCATTTAACTTTAGATCACACTTAATTTAATATAACACGCCTGTAATAACTATTCAACTAATAATAATATAGTAAATAATGCTTTGGACATCAACTGCCAATAATATTTACTAGTATAATGTAAGAGTTTGATTGTCCGATGGAAAGTTTTGTTTAGACTTTGATATCGAATCTATTCTAATTCTTATCTAAACCACGGTTGTTCCTTTATTGTCGCAATTATTCTTCGAGGATTTTACGCGGTGGAAGATAATTAGTGTCAATTGCGTGAAACATACGACTGAGAGTAGTATTACTGGGTTAGTTTACTACGTTAGTATAATACGTGCCATAATTTAAATTATTTGTTTTCGAAAGTCTGGATAGTGGATATTAAGATGCGCTTTTGTTCTCCGTAAAGTGTTTTACTATTTACACTTTTAAAATCGCAATTTAAATCCCTCTGGCATTCTAACCAAATACAAATAAAAATAATTATAATATCAGGATCGTTTTTGTTGATCTCGAGAGTAACGTAGCTTTGGGCACAGTACGTGCTATTGTTATTCAATACCATTGGAATCTTAATTATGCATTGAACTTAATGGCTGATGGAACGTTTGTGGTTTTAGCACAACCATAAGCCTGGCGAGACACTTGCCGTCGAAGTAGAATTAGCCAGACTCACGCGGGAGACCTATCCGGCCGCTCAACTTCTACAGAGACCTCTGCCCGACGGCGTCGATCCCACTAGACTGGAACTATACCTGTCACCGAACTCGTTTAAAGTACGTATTTGGTCACGATGATTAATAATAATAATGATGACATCACGTGCAGAAATGTATTTGCATTGAGATTGATGTTTTTTATTATACGTTTGTTTCTGAAGGGTTTGCTAGATATGGACAAAGACGAATTCTTACAACTACCGAAATGGAAGCGTACAAAAATCAAAAAGTCCGTTGGTCTATTTTAAAACAATCCGAATTCCCGAGCGGATTATTTAATTTACGCGGTATTATTTTTTTATGCTCGAATGATATAGGTATATCCATTTTAATTTTCGTGTGAATTAAAAAAAAGTGTATTGTGTGTGCAATCTTGTATTTTTCTATTGTGAATTTTTTTATTAATTTATTTATATAAACTAGAGATACAATATATTTTTTTTATCATCATGAGAATATCAAACGATGAGATGTAACAAGTTACTAAAAAAAAAAAAAAAAAAATTATTTATAAAAGTAATATTTTTCCTTACTTTTTTGGATTGCTGACGTTTTTTTTTTATTTTTAATAACTTGTAACACATTTTGTATAAAATGAGCTTTGTGCGGTTTTTTACTATATCCTACTTGTATGATTTTTATTTATATAATTGTTTTTTGTTTGTTTTGTTTTTAGGCTGTGATTCTATATAATAACAATATTTTTCAAGTAAAGGTCTCAATATTAATATTTTCATACTTTTCTATTAATATAATATATTTGTATTTTAAAATAATTCAAGCTCAACTTTACGAATTTCATAAAAATGTGTATAAAGCATTTTGTAATTTCGAGCCTCTCTTAAATTTAGTGTTTATCGTATAATTATATTATCGAGAACGCTTAATTTAAATGTTTTACCTTATAGTTCATATTTTTCAAAACAGTTCTGAATTAGATCTTATTGGTGTGAAAAACTCTTTTTACCATACTTACTCAATATGCACGAGTAACAGCTCAACCTTAATACAAACCATGGTTTGTACTTTTTTTTTTTGCTCATTTTGCTTCAATCAATGACTTTGTCCGCCACATGTTCTTTCAATTTTAATTCTCTAGCAGTAGATCTATTTCTATTTTGTAAATATTTGTTTGATGCTTGCCCAGTACAATCAACATTGACTTACAATTATACTTATTAGTAAATTACTAATAACATACTATTAACATTTAATTTTACATACTATACAGCATACATACATACAGCATTTAGTTTTAAAATAACATGATGTTTTTGTTATTGATATCTTCTCCGAAATGTTTATTTATATGTATGCAAAACTAAGAAGATACTTTTGTTTTATCTTACATTTTATTATATTCATCTTGTTAATTCCTTTTGACTACAATACTTCCTATTGACTTCCGCAACTCATTTTTTTAATTTTAACAATAATACAATAATATGTAATTTCTGAATAAATGAATAAAGAAAACATTTATCAGAAAGCTCATTGTTTTTTTTCTATTATAAAAAGTTTGTTATAAATGTTATAATTCCGTTATAAAGTAAAACATCTATTAACAAAATTCTGAATAAGTGATTACTTTTAAATTTCCCAGTTAAACAACTTGAAAGCTAAAGCTAAAGTACACTTGAACTTTAATAATAAAAAAAAAGTAATTTTATCAGTCCTTTAACAGCAGTCATAAACTATCATACATAATTGTACTGTTGAATGTACCATTGTTAAAACACATATTATTTTAATTGCATTATTAGTACCAGTGTATTTATAATGGTTAAACGTGTTTTTTTACTCATCAAACAGGATTATGTTTTAAAATGGTTATTAATATTTGACATTTTAAATAATCTTAAAATCTTCTAATGGCACATATAATGGTTATAAATGAACTCAGTGCATTTATTTTCTTAGCCAAAAATTGTTTTGTTATATCATAAATCATATCAACAAACATTACATATGGTAGAAATTAGATAACCAACCAAACAGTCCCATCAATGATTATTCATTAACACCAGAAATAATTAAATCTGCTTAAAGTATTAAGAAAACAAAAAGAAAATATACAGGGAAATCCTCAATGAAGCCACCATTCACACAAATAGGGATAAAGAAGAAAAAATAACTTCTGTCTTAGCCGCAGTATCTTCATCAAGTTTGTTTAAAATGTGATGCTATGGTGCATGCAGTTTACAGAAATGGTGTAGAAGTCCATATAATACAGATATTACCACAGTTATTATGAAAAACCAAGACGGATAATGTAAGGGTTAACCTCACAAAATGTATATTAGGCGGATAATATGGTGATGATTAAGTTTAACTGTTGAACACAAAATTTATTATCAAGAGGAACTTGTTTTTATTTTATACAATATCATAATGATTACCATTTGCCCTGGTAAAATGTATTTGTAAATTACAGCAATAGGATTATAAAACATTTATACAAATACAATTTGTTATGAAAGTTTTACAAGATGAACATGAAAAATAATAGAAAGCAAAATTTTGAGCCTTTAAAAAAAAAAAAAAAATGAAATTCAACATTTATAAATATATTCTTTTTAAATTAATGTAAAATAATAAGTAATTTAAGGAAAAATAAACGACTAGAATAATAACAAGACGCATTTAACCTCCAAATATAGCCTCTTTTATGGAGTCAATATACTGTGCTGGTACCCAGTATACCCAATAACGAGAAGCTTCTGTCGTGCCCAACTGGAAACCCTAGTATAAAAAAGAAACAAAAATAGAAAATATTGCATTAGATGAATAAGTATATGGTTTTGTGATTTATTAAATTATAAATTAACTATAATAACATACAGATGTGTTTTTATCATTTAAATTATACCAAAGAAATTTATCATGAATGTACTTAATATTAAAAGTCTCACTTTTTATTAGGTTTGTATAAATAGAGTTTAATACAGTTTAATATATATAAAAAAAAAAAACAAAATATTTTAGACTAGCACTTTTTGAAGTCCAATAAAACATTTAAATTTGCTGTAGTAAATAATAAAATAATGATTTAATTACAACTAATGTAGATACACAAAAGATTTGTAGGACAATTTCTTTAGGTACGAGCTACTACCTAAAGCTAGTACCTAGCTACTAGGGTATCAATAACAATGTAGTTGCTAACTCATTGGCGAAGTCCACCCTCTTTCTTAGGCTGTTCTCTCACCCATATTTCCTATACTCACAAATTTTGGCTAAACCAATAGTAAACCTGTCAATTTAATAAAATACCTATTGTATATACAAATGTATAACTGTATAACCTAATTGTATAGACATATACACATTTCTTAAGAATTTAAAAATGATAATAACGTATTGTATATGCATACAGTTTGATTTCATTGATATTGTAATTAAAAATATATAGGCACTACCTATCTAATATAACTATTACTATATTATATGTCTTTTATTTGGAGATAAAACAGACATTACCATATTATACAATATACTTATATCAAAGAATTTATTTATAACACTTTCATGCATGGCTTACTATAATACCTGTATAGTGACAATTGATTTTAGAGATAATTTTTTGAATACATATATAGTTCAACATTTTAACTTACCACTATATGATATTCAGCATGTCCTTCGATAGGTTCACTAACTACATGTCTGATCGTGTTCATGGCTATTTTTTGAGTTCGCTCTTTAGTACCTATCCAAAGTTGATCCAATTCCAATTTAAATGTCAGTCTTACTTTTCCCCCGTGTTTGTTAAGCATTCCACTTAAAGGGTAAGGTGGTAATGGATCCTGAAAAACAAAATTTTTTTTTAGATATTATAAAATGTACACATGAATGAAAAAATAACAATATTTTACAATTCCATTTAATTAAGAGCTAAAAATATATACAACTAATTTAATGTAAAGTTTTGTATTTTTTAAATTTAATTTAAATAATAATCAAATAATAAATTAAAAATAGAATAAAATCAGAAAATACCTAAAAGAATATTAAACAATATAAGATATACTGATAACTTTTAATACTAACACATATGAATATATTTTTATAGTAACACACACCTTAATATTTAAAATTCCAACCATTGCATCATCTGGTATACCACGTTCTAACACTTTCATGTGTAGTTTCTTTTTACACAATGGTTCTTTAACCGTTGAACTAGATTTGGCCGCATTTGAGTCCTATGAAAAGAAAACATTTTAAAAATGTCTTTAAATAACTCAATTATTTGCACAAACCTCATCCACATTTGCTACTGATACGGCTACAATATCTTGTAGCTTGGCACCGACTACCATAATTTTGGAAGATGAATTGACATTCAAAGACTCTAAAGTTTGGTCATCTTTTGCCAGACCTTTGATCATGATTTTTTGCATCTTGCTAGGTACACCTATCATGTCAACCAGTTTATCTTTGAGCTGACCAATTGTAGACAACAGTGGCATGGAAACTGTGTATTTATCTTTGTTATGGATTATGGTAAATTCAACAGGAGGAGACTCATCAATGGCATCGGAAGCTTCTTTTTTCATATCACTATCGACCACTGTGGTCTCATCGTGTTTGGCCACAATCGTCTCATCTTCGGTCACAGTAGTTTCATCTTTGGCCACTTTGGTCGCAACCACGGTTTCTTTGAGACCGTTGATCTCTTCTGAAATCAAATAAAATTAGATAATCAACTTGCACAGTTCTTGTGACCGTCACTTACCAGGTGTCTCCATCGAACGGTCTAGGAACGGATCCGCCGACAGCAGGTACAATCACAGTACACCTACCCAACGGTTTGCGCTGTCTAAAATACGTAATATTAGTGGTCTTACGGTCCAGTAGCTACATCGAGCTGTGCGCACTGTTTAATGGCGTTTCCGTACGTGCGTCCGTAGACAGTTACGGTTCTACTTTGTTTCGTGTTCGCAGCAGCGAAACGGTCTACGACTCTTGTGATGACGACCACGTTCAAACATTTACCTCGTCACGATGCCATGATGAGCACTATTGTGCATTATACAATGTTTACTCGTGTGGATGATATGAAAATTTTCGATTCTCCCGTTATCTGCGTATACAGAATATTATCAGATCCGTGTCTCCAGTGCAGCAGTTTGAAGAGAATTTTCTGTAAAACTTACGGAAAAAAAAAAAAAAAAAACTGTTTGCTATTATAAATTTATGATTTTTACGTATCTCGTGTTTTGCGCTTACGGCCCGTCAAAAAGGCATCGCGACCCATACGGGTTTTTATCGACCGGTTTTTGTATCAATAAAAAAAAATAAACATAAATGAACCGGCGATTACTGTACCTAATTGTGTTGCACGCAATGAATCGTGCAATCAAACGCACTGAAATTTAAAAAAAATAAATAATATTCCGAGGAAAAAAGGTATACCGCGCCGAAGATGTACTCCAGGTAGTTCAACTGAACTGCCTGGAAATTTGGAATGTTAAAAAAAATAAAATAAAAATTGTTTTTAATTAAATAATTTACATAAATATATTTATATAGGTATTATTTGACAAATATATTCTATTCAAAATACATAATTATTATATAACATCTTTAATTATTAAAGATGTTTGAAAAATGTGTTGATATTTGAATCAGTAGTTAATTGGAAGGGGTGGTTGGGTAAATCTAATTATTTGAACTGGCAGTTTCAATTTCATTCGACGCCATTGAACTGTACAGTTAGGTAACTGAAAATATTTTATTTGTAAATATTGAAAACCTTATAGTAATATTAATTGGATTACCTGGATTCGCGTGGAACAGTGCCTCGTGGCTGAGATGAAAACTATTCCGAAAACCGTGTCGAACTTCGTTTAAAGATTTATGTATTTTATACTCTTTGTTGCTTGAAATAAAACGAATATAATACACTCGTAGAGAAGTACAATTAGTGTTGTTGCTTACAACAGATATTATAGGCAGGGCAGTCATAAGAATTTTTTGGGCCTGGGCCATTGATTCGGAGGCCCCTCAATGATTACAATAATATATGAATATGATAAAAAAATATACACAGAGTTTGGCAAATTTTGGTATAGTTTTCCAAACATTCAACCAATCAATATCATTTTATTGCATTGGTACAGTTAATTATATTGTTAATAATTTCTCAGCAATGTATTAAATGTTAAAAAATATTTATTATTATTTTGTTTTTTAATTTATAGCTTCAAGTTACAACTAATATAGCTCAACAATTATGTGATAGAAAAGTACAAATTAAAGATAAAACATTACAAAATTACGACCTTTAAAAAAAATAGATTTTATATAATAAAGCCAGAATCCAAAATAAACTTAATAATACATTTAATAGTGAAGATGTAATTAGTATTGAGAATGGAATGGAGGTTAAAAGGACATTTGAAAGATCTAAGGGATTTAATTAAGTCTAGACGTTCGGTTATCAGAGCAGGGCAAACGAATAATATATGAGATAGATCGCAAATACATTCATCGAGAAGCAGTGTACAGAAAGGATTAAAAAAAAATATATAAATATTATGCTTATTTATTTTTATAGGCGGAGCTGAAACCGTAAAGACAATGATTCAAACGAGTCCGTATTGTCCACTCAACATCGTACTGGTAATACAATTAGTTATTTGAGATTCGAGTAAAATTTATGCATAATAATAAACTATAAGTCATGAAGTTTTTTTGCACCAACAATTAATGCTAAGTACTTACATTTTATCAACTGTTTCTATTGAGAATTTTCATAAAAACTTTGAAAGTGATATTTCTGCAGTGCAGTCATCTTCATTTACACCAAGATGAATGCTCATGAAATTGATTTATTTTAAAATCTTAATTGTTTCGGATAATGTTCATAGTTACTAATATGTGTCAGTAATATTAAACACTTCACTCGATACATTAGAGATATAATCTCTTCACTTAAATTATAATATGCATAATAGTATTTATTTATATGAGAATTCTTAATTTTAATGATATTATAAGATAAAACAAAAATTATTAAATGGTAAACATTCTTGAATAAATATATAAATGAATAGTTTATGCGTGAAATAAATAAATAAATAAAATGCATAGTCTGGATTATTAAAATATGTGTATTGAATAGGTACTTTATTTTATTTTTATTTATATGACATTTTTAAAAACAGTATTTTAAAGTATGTTATCAAAACTTTGATATACATAACTCAATATTATATAAGGTGTGATTAAAAACTACCTTACGCTCAATTACGTTGTTTATGCCACAAGTTAGTATTTTCTTTTAATAATGCACGACAACCCATTGAAGTCGTTTCGGCTTCAGTACCATCAATCTTTTTTATCTTACCAAACAAACTACATCACCGTCTTTGCTTTCAACATTAAACTCGTTAAATTGGGTACCGAAACTTTTGATATTATGAAAAAATAATTTTAGAATGTATCAATGAGCCAAACCAAAACAAATTAATGACATAAAAGGTGTACAGAGGGTCGTGAAACACTCAACGATTAACCCCGTGCCGATCGACCTTCTACTTCAAGATATGTTGAAGTAATGGCTTATGTTTGAATTATTAGTTAGTCATGATCATTAAGAAATACCATGAAATTTAATTTTAAGAATTTTGGTAGCTGATTTAATGCAACATTTAATGCAAATACGCTAATGGAGATAAAACTGCAGTATAAGACTTCAATGGAATATCATGCAATAACTAAAAGAAAACATCAACCCGTGGGTTAAATAGCGTAATTGAGTGTGATTTCTATTTTTATTCGGTATGCGAGAAGTACATTTATTTAAAATGCATATACACTAAAGTGGTATTTTTTTTAATACAGTACTTTTTAATACACTAATTTTTTAAGTCATATATGTAAATAATTTTAGTGACATTTGAAAGGTCTCATTCACCCTTTCTGGTGCTGTAGTAAGGTTAAAATATGGTAAAAAGATGTAAGTTTTCTTGTTTATTTTTAATTTTTTTTTTTAAATTTAATTCAGAAAATATAGGATTTAGCGTGATCATGAAAAGAACTTGACGATAGATTTTTATATTTTCTATAAAATAGCATTTTCTTCAGTTCATTTTTCTTTATAAAAAGTATAAAAATATATCATCAAGTTCTTTTCGTGTTCACGCTAAATCTTTTATTTTCTGAATGAGATTTAAAATAAAAACAAGAAAACTAACATTTTTTTGTCATATTTCAACCTTGCAGCACCAGAAAGGATGAATGAAACCTTTTAAATTTCACCTAAATTATTTACATATATGACTTAAAAAATTAGTGGAGTACTGCATGAAAAAAAATATCACCCTAATACATTTGTGTTTTAAATAAAGACCCCCTCCCCCTATTAGGTAAGATCAATTTTGAACACACCTTCTTTTATACACATAAAAATAAAATTATTCGCTTTCTATGAGCACTGCTTAAAAAAATATTTGATCAACTAACAATAGTTAGGTAATACTTTTTATAACGGCGTCAGTAAACTCATGAGTGCTGTTTGAACCACCTAAATCGAATGTTTTCACCTAAAAACATTAAATAATAAAAGTCAATATTTCATTTTTTCCTAATTTCATGATGATATAGTAACTATATAATCATAAAATTATCTATAGTAATGTTAAACATTTGTCTAAATCTCGATGAACATAAATTGAACATGTAATATCCAAATAATTTAAAATACTCGTATCTACTAGAGAGTGGCAAAATAAATCAATGTTTTCGTTCGATATATCGAAATCCTGCATCATTTTTATTGCGATGTATTGAAAAAAAATCGATTTTTTCTAATCCAAAGATGGATGTTTAAATTACTTATTTATTTAAACATTTTACAATTCATACATAACATACATACATATAATATAAATACAATTTTTCTTAAAACTTATTAAGGTAAACATCAATATTTTTAAACATCAATTTTTTTGTAGAATATATCGATAAACTTTATGCCCATCTCTAGTATGTACCAAAGAAAAAAAATAGGGTTTTTAAATCTAACTACCTAATTAACTACCTACAGCGCCGTCACAAGCTTTTTCGAAGCTCTAAGCAGAAGTCGTACAATTTCAGTACACCTAAGTATATCTGACCATTCTAACTTGACATATAATGTGTTGAATTTTTATTGATTTTGTTTTAAGTGCAAAGAACTGTAGGAAATCGTCTAAGTTGCCTGTTAGCTAACGACGGCACTGCCTACCAACTGGGTAATTACAGAGATGAAATATATCAGTTGTTATTTACTTGACCAGCAGCAAGCACTTTTTTAACACCCGTAAATATGGCATCGCTGTAATGCTGTAGGTTAACGTGCCTAAGCATTTTTGACGCACATATCAACATAGCTGTTGGATTCGCAATATTTTTACCAACAGCAATTTGGAACGAGTGTCTAGATGCCTGTGATAGAAGGCAACAGTTTATAGTGGTTATATACATATTTTTAGCGAGGTCTTACAGGCTCAAATACGGCACACTCAGGACTGAACGATGAGCTAGCAACAACTCCAGCTCCACCAACTAATCCTGCAGCCACGTTAGTCAATATGTTGCCGTATAAATTGGGCATGACAAGTACATCGAATTGATGAGGATTATGCACTATTTGCATAACACAGTTATCCACGATCATATTGTTATACTTGACTCCAGGATACGTTTTTGCGAGCTGACAAAATAACATTCTGTTGTCAAATTATGTATTTTGTTTGTCAATTCTATAGTGATCCAGTAGATAATAATAATAAAATAATATTTGATTGATTGTATAACGTTTCACACCTCTAAAAAACTCTTTAAAAATAAACCATCTCCAAGTTTCATTATGTTCGCTTTGTGAACACATGTAACATTTTTGCGATTTTTCCTAATTGCATAGTCAAAAGCAAACTTGGCAATTCTTCGCGTTTTTTTAGCAGTGGTTAATTTTAAATGTTCAACAACATTCTAAAAGACATTGAAAACAGTATAAATTTAATGACATAAACGTAAATAATATGCCTTACAGGAACAGATTCGTGTTCAATGCCAGAGTATTCCCCTTCGGTAAGTTCCCGGATAATTACCAAATCTATATCTTTATGTTTGGTACATACTCCAGGAAAAGATGTTATGTGAACTTCATTGGAATACAAATCTAATCCTTTTCTGAGTTTCATTTGAAAGTTATTATTGTTATCTTCAGATGACGTGCCATATGGATTCGTTAATGGTCCCTAAATTGTAAATTATAGATTTTTATTAAATTTGCAACGTTCAAAAATTAATTTTAGAATATAAATAATATTACCATCAAACAAATTTTATTACGATTTATTGATTCGATAACATCTTCTACTTTGGCAGTGCAACATTGTTGTACTTGAGAAAATAATATAGTCTCGAAATCAATCGGGGCTTCAATCGCACTCATTACGGTTTGAACGGATTTCATAAGTTCGGGATACACTCCATCGCCAGGTATTAATGTACATGTAATGCGTTTGACCGGTGAGTTGGTAAGTTTAACCTTCAAAAAACGTAACAATCTTGAAATAGAAAATCACTCAGAATAAATAATATTGGTTTACTTTATTTGATTCGCCAGTAGAAAACGCCCTAGCTTTTAATAACTTCATTCCGACACTCCTGGCGGTGTCCTAAAAAATATTAAAAATGTGTTTAGCTCTTCTCAATTAAATTTGGATTAGGTCAGGTCGAATAATAAGAAGAAGACTTTACTAGCAACGGCGACTTCTGTAAACAATTATTGGCTGCCAATTCATTTTGTACGAGCTGTACACAAAAAAAAAAAAAAAATACTCATTAATTTTTATCAGAAATAATGTAAAAAAATCACGATTACATTGTTTATTATACATGCATGAACATTTGATTATTATAACAACATTAACTCGTCAAATCCAAATAGTGATTATTTTTTTGATGGTTATTGAGGGAGACCTCCTAGGTCATGGTAATTTTTTTTAAAATTTTCTTAAAAAATAAACATGTCATATTTAATTATAAGAACAGTGTTTTAATGTTTTAATTTAAAAGATTTTATGGAATGGGATAGCCAAATAGCTCCGTTGATGGAACATTTTCGCTATTAAAAAGTTTTAATCTTATCACTTTATGACATAATATTGTTACGAATTTAAAGTATAAATAATTAACCAATACATTATTTTGTATAGTCCAGAATGCCAGTTAAAATTATGTATTCATAATTAAAATGCTAAAGATAACCGTGTTCATTCATAAAGTTATAAATCATTTATTTTCAACTTTGTGTTGTATAATTCTACAACAAGATATGAAAATATAACATAAAAACTTATAAATTTGTTCGGTTTTTAAATCAACTCAATAACTTAATGTCTCCAATTTACTTTGGTTTTTTTTCTCTTATCAAATATGTGTTTTTTAATTTTAATTTTAAAAATATTGATTTACTTTGTTCGATTCGCCAGAAGAAAATGCTCTCGCTCTTGACGCCTGGGTGGCGAGTGTCCTGGCGTTATTCTAAAAATTATTAAAAATGTATTTAGTAAAAATGTTTCTTATTTAATTATAGCCTAGGGTGTTAAAAAATTGTACTTCACCAGCGATAGACATGGCTGTAAACACCTGGTTTCCATTACATTTTGAACGAACTATGTAAAAAAAATTTGTATATTAATTTCTATCAAAAACAACGTAAAAATGTAATGATTACATTATTTATTTGATTAAACATGCATGAACATTTCGATTATTTTTTTGTGCCCTACAAATAAATGTGTAGCGTACTATACGAGATCGTAAAACTATTAAATGATTATAATGTTATTAACTCGTCACATTCAAATAGTGATTGATGTTTTGGAGGGTTATTTAGGGCGAATGAGATCTAGGTCCTAATGATTTTAATGTCCTGATTCAGCCAGAGAAGAATATGTCGGTAATATCGGTATATAAGATAGACGAGTGCACATTTCTGATCACGAACTTGTAAGGTGTCAATTGTTATTGATGGTGTGAGGAAAACGTATGGAAACTGGTGTCAAGTGTTATTTAAGCGTTTTACAATTTGATTGTAGTTCAGCTACGAGCTGAAAGTTGAACGATATGGGATATGAAAATGAATAGGACCGTATTGGCCCATCGGGCAACCGGGCAGATGCACCAATAATAATCACATGATAACTTTATGAATATGGAGCGATATTGAGTACTATTATTTCTCATTAACAGGTATTCATGATGTTTTCAGAACTACGTCACTCTAAAATGTTAATTGTTTTATGAAGACAAAATTTTAATATGTATCCACTGTCTAGATAGCTTTTGATAAAAAGTAATGATGTTTAATTGCTTAATTTATAATTAAATGGTAAAACTGAAACACCTTGTATCAGATAGATGTAGGGAGTGTGTAAGGAGGTTTTATCACTCACGGATCACCTTGGGGTGAATAATCTTAGCATTCCCGAGTGTTGAGACTGAACGTGCGCCTATGATTTATTGGACTGTGGTGATATCGTATCGAAAAGAAACGACTAGTACTCATGTTGAGGCCGAACTGATTACTTAAATTATGAATATTATAACTTATCGTACTTACTCTGTTCTGCAGGAGCTTGATTCCACTTTTGAAGACAAACATTTTTAAAATTAAATATTACTTGGAATTTTAAATAGAAATGTAAGAAAAATAGCTGACTCGTCAAACTTCGTACGGCCTAACAGTCGATGAATGGAGTGTTATTTTTTAGCTAAATTTAATTTATGATTTTAAATAACTAGTTATTTATTTTTCAACTCGTAAAAATAATTAGTCGTTTCTATGTAGATATAATAAGAAAAAAAAATTTCATTGTGGTCAGTGTATTATAAAATTCCTATAAAATTCCACAGTTCTGTCCTTCGAGAATGTATATTACATTTTTTATTATTCATATAGTAAATGAATAAGGTACAGAGTTTTATGATCCTAATTATTATAAGTAATAATAAATCTAATCATAATTTCAAGTAATGAAATTAAAAAATATATATTAAATATTAAACCAGAATGTTCTGTCGATAGGTGGGAATTAAAAAATAAGATCCTAAAAGCTATTATTATTAATATTCTTACAGTATTACAATGTATTTTTAACCTAGTTATTACTACTTGTGTTTTACCACATTCATTAAAAATTACTATCATAATCCCGTTACCTAAACGTTATTTAAATAAAAGTGATTGTACCAATTATAGACTAATAGCACTTACAATAATACTTTCTAAATTCATAGAAAAATGCATCATAGATAGACTTTATAACTTCTTGGGAACATGCTCAATATTTTCCAAAAACCAATGTGGCAGTTATAGGATTTTTTCTAGATATGAAAAAAGTTTTCAATTCGGTTGATCATTCAATAATGTTAGTCAAACTAGAAAAATATGGTATCAGTGTCCAATGGCGCCGACTTGTATTTTATTTGGTTGAGCAAAAAATAAACATTTTTTAATACCAACATCCAAAAAGTTAGACCAAAATAAAGACAGGTTACATGATTAAATGATTAGATTGTAAATTTAACCATCATGAAGTCTCTCGCAATTTATCACTCCAATTTCATCTATTAGGTAAGTACTATTCAGCAGTAGCGTGTCTGGGAGGGGGGGGTAATGGGTTATAATCGACAGCCCGTACTATTTAGTCTATTTTAGAATACGATTGTTAAATGTGCTGCTTAAAACAGCACATAATAATTATATAAATGATAATAATAATAATATAAATTCTGATCGAGTAAAATGCCTCATATTTTATCATAAATCAATAATCATACAGACTGGAAATGATAATTATAAATTAGGTATTAATTATTACCTATTTACCTTACTGATTACGTACTTCATAATGGTTTTAGAAAAAAATACTCAATATCAATTTGAAGCGTATATTAATATAGGTTTAATTATTTAAATATTAAATACGTTATTAAAATTATAGAAATGTAAAACAAAAAACAGTTTATTTTTTAAACAACTGTTATTAAAAAAAAGATGTTTCAAAAATGTTTCACGGAGCTATTGGTAATTTAAGTAACTATCTTAAAATGTTTAAAAGATGTACTTGCATGCTGTATAATCACTTTTAAACTCTGAGAATCGAGAGGCGTTTAGCTCCATCATGTGTGCGAAATAGATATAGGTAAATGTCAACGTACGTCTTTATATTTGATATGGTATAATGACATGCATTGATAGGCGGATTACTCTATCGCATCATAGTATCCTACCATCTATAGATCGACTGTCACTTAATTTGTACATTCCTAAGATTTACTAACTAGAGTGTAAATTTATCCGCCCAACTCACTCCACACCCACCCAGACACCCACCACCATAGTGAAATAAAGGGGCGAACTGCCCCTTAAAATTAAGTGTTCGGCGCCACTGGTATGTTGTATATATATATATTATTGTATAAACGCGAGACCCTTGGAGACACGAGGCTCCGGGCGAGTGCCCCGTTTGCCCTGCCCTCGGGACGGCACTGTAATAACAGTGTTTACTGTGGTAATCGTTTTTCACGATCAGGTAAATGGTATGTGTATCGTTTTTTTTTTTTTTTTTTAATGTCCACGGGCGATCGCGGTTACGAATCTGCTCCGGTGAAAACAGCCACTGTCACCACCGTCAGCTCCCGGCAAAACGGCTCGGGGGCAGCTGGCGCGCGTCGTCGTAACGTTTTGTTTACTCGAACGCACTTCTGGCGGTCGCTCGGCAACCGGGACCATGGTGCGATTCGTACGCGGAGCACCCCCGCCGCGGTAACGGGCGCAGTGCACGTCCAAAATCCGTAAAACGATAATAACAGGTCGCGCGTCGACGGTTGTTCGTTTGTTTTCACTGCGTTTCCGAAACGTATTCCTCGAAAACAATAATATTGTAACACGTTCAACGTCGTTTTTTTATTTTTTTTCTTAAAAAAAAAAAAAAAACATTTTATTCGCGCGCGAACGTGCTGCAATGACCGCGGCGGTATTGACGTTGCGGTCGCGTCGTAATGGCTGAGCTTTTTGTCATCGGACAGCTGTGCAGCGCCGAGCAGTTCCCGTCCAAGAGTCTGTTTTGCAAATGGAGCGTACACGCCGGTGAGCGAATCGTTATTATTATTATTATTATTATTATTATTATTATTATTAATATTATTGTTATCGTTATCATTATTATTATTATTATTAGCAGGGCTCGGGTCTTAAAGCATTTTAAATCAATAAAATAAGTGCTTTTTCGAGCACTTCAAAATATCATTATGAGCACTCAAATAAGCATTTAAAAAACATAAATGTGAACACAAACATTTATTAAAAAAAAAAAAAAACTACCTACCTAAAATAGGAAATAATTAACAAAAATTTCGACATTTTCTTTTTACATAAACTTGATAAAGTAGTAGACATATTTTTAAACTGTGCTGAATATATAATTAAAGGCTACAAAAAATAATAAAACAAATCGATACAGTCCATATTATAATTTTTTAATTAAAAAACCAAAAATATAAATTAATCTTTATAATATAAAAAAAAGTCTAACTTTAATTTTTGAGACATTTTGCTTTATTGTTTACAGATTTTCCGAGAAATTTTCTGAAAAATAAAATGTAAATGATATTTATAAATAGTTGAAAAATATCTAGGTTAGATCTGGTAATCAGAAAAACAGTAAATAAGCATTTTTTTTTAAAAAAATCGTCAAAGAAGGAAAGTACCACTTTTTCAAATTTTATAATTGAAACGTGTTATAACATGACATACACTTCCATAACTCTTTGCTATATTTTATGTCAAACCATTAATATAAGCAAATGCTTTAAGTCCCAAGCTCTGATTATTAGTATTATTATTACTCATTCGGAATATTAGGCGCACTCGCGTACCGGAAGAGTTCGTTATATATTTTTAAATTAAAAATATTATAACTTTAGGTATTATTTTCAACAATTGCTTCGATTAATATAAAGGACGTTGAAGTTTTTGTAAATAAAATATTCTTCAACATTGACTGAAAAAATGTTTAACATAAAATGCAAATTTTTCATATTTTAAACCTCCCAAGAATCGCGCCCAGGGTGTAGACACCTTTGTCTCTCCCCCCTTGCTACGGCTCTGATCACAATACACATTCTGTCACCTTTGCACACGTGAAACTTACTCTTAAGTTAATGGTCGTGTTCTGTACTCGCACAAGTCATGACAATACGTCGCCACGTTATGTTCGCATATCATATTTTGACGTTTTAAATGAAACTTGTATTATTTTATTTAACGATCACATCTATAAACAATCGATATTCACACATACATTTTCATGATATTATAAATTATTGATATAATATATTATTATACGGGCTAAATTTAATATTTGAATGACGTAATTACAGTTAAACTATCCAAATGGGTATTGGGACAAAATATCATCCAAATGATAATGTACACTTATTTTGCGACAACAATGTACAAGTTAAGAACTAATAAAATAAATTATTTGGATTACCTGAAACCCGTGCAAGTTTGAATGTAAATCCAGGTATTTGAACAAGTTCCATTATTTATAATAATGGCAATAGTTGTCACGCAATCGATAGTGGCTTCATTTTTTTTTTCAAACGTCATTCCCAGTGAATAAATATCACAATACCCTTGTGGCACATATAATATATATGCACACAGTCAAAAAGTTGTTTGTCACGCAAAAGTAGGGATAAATAAATTTTTTTTTTTAATTTACATTTTACAACCAATACAGTGAGTGGCTATTGATTTCCACGTTTAAAGTACCGAATCAAGATAAAGTATTAACTTATATTCATTATGTATTATTTAATACCTATTTAAGTCGTGTTGATGAGATAGAATTGATCGTTATCGCGTGATACGCATACTTGTGTAGGCACTAATTGGAAAATTATATCCGGCAATAAAGAAGGGCAGACCCAAGTGGATTCGCCGTCATATGATAACTGTACCTGGTGGTGTCATCCGATCGACATTCATTTCGCTTCCAAAGGAATTCAAGGTACTTATACATACGTTTTGATCGATTGAGTCGACTTAGTGACGAAAAAATAACCACTGATCGATTTTTTTCTAAAACGTCGACACACTATTTTTCATGTTAAGGCTGGCCAAAGTTTCACGTACAAGTGTACCACTACGATAGTTACGGACGCAGTGAAATTTACGGCTACGGGTTTTGTTACGTACCGACTACACCGGGAACGCATACAGTAGATTGTCACACTTGGCGGCCGATCGGTAAGTATAATAATATTGTTTTTGACCTGTTGGTTTTAAGGAGTGATTATTTGATTTTTCTTTTATCACGATACCACATTAATTAATTTTAACATATTTCTAAAAGAAAATTTAATTACTATGGCTTTACCTTTTTCAAATAAGATTGGTGAACGATACTGTTAGAATATTATTTACAAACAGAATCAGTATTATAATCTTAATAGGTTTAGATATCAGTATTGTACATGACGGTCAGCATTTTATCAACAATATGAGTGGATCTAGGGGAATACTGGGGTCAAGTGCCACCCTCATTGGAAAAAAATAAAGTATATTTAGAAGAACTAAATAATAGATTATAAAAATAAATGTTGATAGTTTTAGTACAATACTGCCATATTACTTTTTGGAGGGTCTAAACTCCTTCAAAATATCCCTACATACGTCTATGATCATCTATATTAAATAATTTCACCGATAAAGTGCCACCTAATCGTAAATAGATGCTGAATCTGTTTTTGATCAATTATATCCAATGATTTTTATTTTGTGCCATAGCTTTTTGGGATCTATTATTACGACGCTCATGTAACCATTTTTTCTGACTATCATTATTTGTATACAATCTCTTTAGACGTACTCAACATTCGAATTCACGCTTCTATTTTTAGGATATTTACAACCACTGTAGAGTTAACTACACTTAACTTTATTGCTCTACATGTCATGAAATATTCGAATCACTGCATCAGTATCTTACCAATTGCATTTGATTATTTGGTATAGTGAAATTTTTCTTAGTTTTTCTTACGTAAAAGAATACCGTACATGCACATTAGCGTGTTAGGATGTAATTAGACGCGAAGATTTTTAAGAGACATGATGTTTTCTTTTAACTTTGTCACAGGTAATCTCAGGGACGAGTTTCGTAGGTTCTTCCTGGGTGGTGGCGCTCAGCTGAAAACGCCAGATTTCGTGTATTGCGGCACGGACCGGTACCGGTTGCACACGGAATCTCTGGGCACGGTACGCTTCCGGTTGAACGTGATCGCCCGGAACTTCCGCAGGTACGGAGTAGAACTCTGACGGCGAACCGCGATGATGGTCGGGCGTCGTCGTCACGTGGTCACGGTTTTCACTGTGGCGCTTGTCGTCGTGGTGTTTTTCGGCGTAAGTGCTTCGAGCCAAAACGCCAAGGACTGCGCGGCCGATAAAACTTGCACGGAAGATCCGAAAAGAACGATGACGACGACGATAGAGCCGAAAAAGGCTTCGACGACAACGACGACTACGATGGATCCGAAAAAGTCTTCGACGACGACGTCTACGATGGATCCAAAAAAGGCTACGACGACGATTACGATAGAACCGAAAAAGGTTACGACGACGGCGAATCCGAAAAAGGCCGGTACAACTATAACGGCCAAAAGTACGTTAAAAACGCCTGCAGCCGTCTTCTCGACTGGTAGCGACGGTGATGGGGTCCTCCACCATTACAACACATCCGGAAGAGATTCCGATTACAAGTCTGCAGATCTAAAGGAAATAGTCGTGTTAGACGTTCCCGCGACGGCCGATGCCGATAAAACAGTCGACGGTTTGGGAAACGCGACCGTTTCCGCACCCGGTGCAGTCGGTGTCAAACCCGACGTGAACACGTCTACGGAAATGACTTCGTCGACCACCGTCACTAGTGCCTCCAAGACCACGGTCGCCACTCTCACTAACAACAGCATCGCCGCTAACAGCACAACCACGGAATCGACTACAGTCTCACAGCTGAACATTGGTGTCGTACGTTTCGTCGATCACGTTTATTGCGCCTGCGATTTAATCGTGAGTTTTTATTTTCATTTTTTACCAAAATCTGTCGAGGAAAACTTAGTCTCGCACCAGATATATTTTGTCTTTAACATAAATTTTATTATTAATACGTGATGTCATTTACTACGCGTGCACAGTACTACAGCTGTGACATCAATTGTTGTTGCGACGCTGATTGCACGAATCACGATTTGAAGACGTTCACCATGTGCTCCGATCAAGTCAAGTCTGACGCGATAAAACACGAATCGATTCTATTCGATTCCTCGTTGTTTTACGTGGTGATCGACAACGTGCCGTCGGATTATTTTTATCCCGAAAGAGACGTGAGTACCGCGATAACGTGCATCGTCATATACAGTATATACATATTTATTATACCTAAAAAATATAGAAATTTTCGTCATGTACACGCATATCGATTGTTGTGTTCGTGGTTTATCATCTGTAACTAACCCCTCGTCTGGTTTTCGAAGTAGAATCTACCGAAGCACCGCGCCCAAAAGTATAATAAAATTAATGTGTTTTCGTATTACCACGTATTACAGGCAATTCAATCGGAATCGCGAATCGGAGCATCGCTGCGTGATCGAGACGTGTTCACTTGGTACGACGAAAACAGCGGTAGATCCATCGCGCTTTCCTCTCGAATGGATTCCGTATACAACAGCTATGACCTTACGTACAAGTCTTTGCGCTGGATGTATACCGTCGTATCTGGAATCAACTCTTCGGAAACCAAAACGTTCAGTCAGTATTTTACCAACATTTATTACACACACGTATTACGGTGCTATAACGCGTAACATACGAAATAATAATACATTTTTTGCTGTAGGCTTAAAGAACAGTGCGTTAAATTCACTTTGCTCCGTCGAACAACCGGTTGAGTATTTAGTGACAACAAACACCAGTTGTCAACTGTTTGTTCCGATTTTGAAAGATGTTTGCAACAATCGTTCATGGTTGAGTTACGAACGTCATTTTAGTGAAAAAGGGCTTTTCAAGGCGGTGCAGCCGATCTATAGCGGCGATAAAAAAACCGAGGTAATATATATTTATAATGAAATATATGCATTCATATAACAATCAGTCATCAAAAGCGTATTACTAGCCCAAAACCAACACGTTTATCGTTTCCAAATGATTAATAATAGTTTCTAGAACTGATAAGTGCTAGTATTATATTTTGACAGTATTCAATTGTGAACACTTTAAAAATATAATAGATTTAGCGGTTTTAAATTGAATAAATTATTCAAAGAAAAAAAGGCAAAACATAATCGTGTTACTACTACAGTTATTTAGGTTTAAACGTTAACATAGAACCTATAGCGATATATGTTCTGTTACTTTTCACGATAGTAAATTTTATTGAGTATCTGTTATCGATTTAAATGCACAGACCTGTATATACTTGAATATTTTATAAAATTTGTTTGATAATGCATTTGTTGGAGATTTAATTAACAGTAATAATTAAAAGTATATATGAATAGTACTATTTTCAAAACAAAGAACTACTCTTAGTAGTAAACGAACATTACAAAAATTAAAATCCCTTTAGATTTCTAACCTAACCTAATAATTGATAATCAAAAGGGTATCTTAAGAATATATACTTAATGTCATTAAGATGGACCGTTGGACGATTATATGATAATATTATGTGTAGAGATTTGGGTTGGTGGCCATCCGAGCCACGGCGCACCACCATTGTGCCTCGGCTACCGGATCGCCATACGACTGCCACGTTCATAAAGCCGAAGGCGACGGCGACGACAACTTTCGACCGCGTCACCATCCCGTGTACGTGGACGGGGTGTGTCACCGGGCCGTGGACGCGATCGAATACCGGGTCACGCACAACGGGACGGGTGGCGTGCGCAAACTGGACGTGTACTTCTATCACCGGGACGTGACGGACTCCGGGCGACCCATGCATCTCGGCCAGACGTTCCACGTACGTTTCAGCTGGGCCACGGCTGGGGCGCGGGAACCGTACGCGCGTAGCGGCAAACCCGGTTACGCGACCGGAAGTCCGGTGCTGGTGACCGAGGGGTTGACCAGCCCACGCCCCAGGCCCATGGACCTGCCCGAGCCGGACGCGTACGGTGCGTGCGATCGCGCGGACTTCGCGCCCGGACGACACCGGCCGCGGC